TGGACATCTCTGTGTTATTTGGCAAACTTCACAGGTACCCCCTGGGACAAACTATCTTTAATGTCTTTAAACAACTGCAATTTTAGCGGCAACTGTGTGAAACCAACTAAATGTTCTTTTAATGACCATCTTCAATTATTTGATTAGAAGAGTTATAATTTAAAGATGATGAATATGGGTGAAGGCTCAAATGTGTTTACTAAAAAGTTAGTAAGTACAGTTTGGAAAGAAGATGACACTAAGTAATGACTCTGGGAATTGTGCCGGAAAAATTTCTAACAGTTGCATAGTACTTTGTATTCTGCTTGATGCATTAGACAGGATTGCAGCCATACACTGAGTAGAAAAATATACCTTGTGGATATTTTGGTAGCTAAGGTGATAGAATGAACTTGTTCAAGGAAATGTGGGAGTAGAGGAGGAAGCTTAGGGTCGGAGTTCATCAGCATAGCAATTACCCAAGCAGGTCAATTTTTTTTTAGGAAAATGTATTTTGATAATTGAAGTCCAGAAGGAGACCACCTGGCTCATCCACAATGACCTTCAAAATGTAAATTCCCAAGTGATTTATGTCATTTTTAAACTCTTTGTCTCCAGTTAATGGCTATTCTTTGGATTATCTGGGAGGAAAACAGCCGGTTCTTATAATTATTATTAGGGGATTTGGATCAATAGAAAGAAGACACTCTGTTCTTTTAAACATTTCTTATGCAACATCATAAACAACCTACTGCCTGCCCTCACCCCACCCCGGCCCTCTGGCTATCACATCGCTCTCTGCCTTTTAATCACAGGCTTTGTCTGTATAACTCTACAAAAGTCCAGCCAGATAGCCAAATATTTAGTCCGTCCTCCGGATATTCTGCTCTCAGCATTTTAAATATCATTCTGTTAAAAAACATCTGGGTCTTTCGCCATGACAAAATGAGTTGTATCTTTCTTCATCAAGGATACTTGGCCTTATACAGCCAGAGAAATAAATAAACAGGACCAAAAGATGCCTGAAAGTATCATCTGAGGAATTTCTTGTTTCTAAACCATTAACACGTAAATCAGGGTTTCTTAACAGCAATAGCGGCACTGTTGACATTTTGGACCAGATGATTCTTGGTCATGGGGGGCTGTTCCACACACGGTTGGATGTTTTGCAGCATCCCTGGCTTCTATCCATTAGATGCCAGAAGAACGTTTGCTTCCTAGTCGTGACAATGAAGTGGTCTCCAGACATTGCCCAATAACCCCCGAGAGAACAGTTGAGAACCACTAAGCTATAGTATCCAATTTCAATAGTCTTATCCTGTGCCAACTAGCCTAGAAGGAAGCTATTGAAGCTGTTTAGTTTAGAGAGCGTAACAGAGTGCCAAGAATAGACATAGGATCAGACAGCAGAGAGTGGAAGGATAAAGCAGTAGAAATAATGATAGCCAGTAGAAATAACCATTCATTTATTCATTCTACACTCATTCATTCATTCATTTATTCTTTTGACAGATACATATTGAAGACGTACTAAATAGAAGAAACTGTTCTGAGGTCTGGGAATTCAGCAGGAAAGAAAACACAAATTTTATGTTCTCATGGAGCTTATATTCAAATGGAGTGTGGGGAACTATGAATAAGAAGATATCTAACGGACTTGGTGTTCACAGATGCTAAGATGAGAAGTAGTGCAAGAGAAAAAGAAAGGTATGACGGAGGGTGTTCTTCAGGGTTTGGTTAAGAGCACACCCAGCAATTTTAAGAGTAGAATGTCATAGAGGGAATGAGTAAACAAGGTATAGGAGGAACACAAAGGCTACAAAAGTGAAAAGAGGATACAGAGATAGTAGCTTCAGAAAGTTGCTGCTACTCCCTCCCAGGGCTGGTGATACAAAGGGAACAGAATAAAGTTTTTAGGACCTAGAAACTGAGAAAAGATGACGGTGGTGCTAGGATCCAGACCACTGAAGAGGTGGAGATGGCCCTGCCTGCCATTCTCTGTGGCTATGGAACTGAGTCCAGAAGCAGCTGGGTGGCTGACAAACTGGGGATGGTATCTCTAAGGAAGCAGCTAAGGTTGCTTTGGAAGGTTTGGAATGAATCTGTTCACCATAACCACCTGCTGAGCCATCGTGACACCAACAGGACCAGCAAGCCAACAGAAAAGAAGAACCTCCGTTCAGCAGCTTGCCTGCCTTCCAGTCTGCTTCTAGCATCCCTATTTGCAGAGTTTATGAGGGAGCCAGCAGCACAGGAGAAATGCCGTCTACCGACCCAGTGCCAGCGTTGCAAAATAGAGTGTGAAAGGGAGGGTTGAGGCTGAGAAACAGAGCTTCATAACCAGCGCAGGGAGGCAGCTCTATTATAAAGGAGGTCCTTCAAGCCTACCCCACCCTGCTTTGGAGAACTGGGTCATTTTGCTCTGTGCAAGATAGTGCTTCAGAAGAATCATCCCTTAACCATGAACTCCTTCAAGGCAGACGCAGGTTGTTATTTATCTTATCACAAAATGTGTGTTAAGCAAATGAGTGAAATGATACCTTTGATATAATGCTTGTAGCATTAGTGCCTTTTTCAGCATGGGTACTTCTGATGACCAGCGTGTGTGTGTGTGTGTGTGTGTGTGTGTGTGTGTGCTTGTTCCGCACGCAATCTAATTTTAATAAATATTAACTAGGTGCCCACTAAGTGCAGAGTGCTGCATCAGATGCTACATGAGACCCAAAAGAATTAAACCTGGTCCCTAAAGGACTCAGAATATCGATTCCTGTGTGTGCCATCTGGCATATATCACTATTTTTAAAAGGTCTTCTTTTAAATTTATTGAGGCCTTTTGAATCCCATTCTTTTCTGTTTTTAAAGATATTAGCGATGCACATCTCCTCCTGTACAATTTTAGTCCCCAGCTTTATGTCTTTTATGAACAGAATTAAATAGATTTCCTCCCAGAAGCAATCCTTTGGTAGTAATTGTATAAAGAGAGAAATTAACTCTTTCAGATGCCCAGGGTGCTTTTGCTAAATGTTCTATAAAACTCCTTCCTAATTACTACCTGGAGAGAGACTTGGCATCCGGAAAATAGCATCCAATATGTATGCATTTATTTTCCTCCTTGTTATGTCACGGAGGGACATGAGTGCAACACGCTGTGGGAAAAGAAGGCTAAGGGATGCTTATTCATAAATAAGAATAAGATGAAGGTATAGGCTGGGGGATTTTAGTCTCTCAACACACTTTGAAGGTTTGGCTCCTTAAATAGTCTGAGCATGGATTCCTGCCTTCTACTCCTATCTACTCCTGTAGAAGGTGAAGGGGGTGGAGGTTGCTGTGACTAGGACTATGACACTCACTTTGGCTGTTAATGGTGACCTTCCTTAGCCTATATCCAAGAGCACTGATTCTCCTACAAGTCACGTGCTGTTAGCCAAGTATTTTGCCCCTTTCCTTTTGAAGTGGCACTCTACTGAACATTAATTTCTTCCCTTGCTGCTTAAAAATGTTTTTAAGGTCCAGGTGCAGTGGCTCATGTCTGTTAATACCAGCACTTTAGGAGGCCGAGGCTGGCAGATCACGAGGTCAGGAGTTTGAGATCAGCCTGGCCAACATAGTGAAACCCAGTCTCTACTAAAAATACAAAATTAGCCGGGTGTGGTGACACACGCCTATAGTCCCAGCTACTTGGGAGGCTGAGGCAGGAGAATCGCTCGAACCTGGGAGGCAGAGGTTGCAGTGAGCTGACCACACCATTTCTCTCCAGCCTGGGTGACAGAGTGAGACTCCATCTCAAAAAAAAAAAAAATGTTTTTAAGACCTATGTATACCTTGGTCAACTTTTCTAGTATTTTCATCCTTCCTCCTCTAGGTTTTTAGGGAGAAATGCCTCCATTGTTCTTTGGATTGCTTCATTATTTTTATTTCCCAAATCTTCTCCACTTATTAAAGATCCTAAGAATTTTAAGCTCAGACTTCTGCCTCTCCAAATATTTTTTAAACGATAGCAACATAATATTACCTATGGATCACATGACTCCAGAGCTCTACCTTGCCGTCACTCCATCCCCAAAAGACCATCGTAGACCACACACTGAATGTTCTATATAAGTTGGAAAAATCTAATGTTAAATATAATACAAAGAGACAACCAGTGATAAAGTTTAAATCCTAAGTCTCCAAGCACATTTTCTTAGAGGAATCCCTTTTTCTTCAGTTTAAGGTAAAAGACTCCGGCAGAAAGCGTCTCTCTTGACAGTCACAAGCCCTAGTGGTAGTGTTCTTGGGTGCAGGTGTCATGAAAATGCAAAGGGTTTCTTACATGTGATCAAAAACAATGTTTCAAAGCAGCTCAGCAGATGTATCAGGCTGTAGTCATTCTGCTCAGCTTAGCATTTGGTCAAGATAAGCGTTTCCAGTCAATGCTGATTGCATTTAGCCTGACCATGTTTTTGTACGTTTCAATGCCGATCCTATTTTCTCCTTTTAATAGTACAAATATATAACAATAAAGAAAATAATTTTGCTAGCAGTCGAATTACAAAATCTGCTCAACACTCCATTAATAAAATCTCTATCTTGTTCAACATCTCCAGTAAATAGCCTTTATGTATTTCCTCTCTTCAATTTGCCAGCGGACAATAGAAAACATTAGCTGGAATTGAATGCAGGTTAACAAACTGAAAGATGGTTAACCACTGCCATCTAGTGGCTAAACCTTAAAATTCGACCAAAGTTTTTGAATCTTTTTCTTTGAACATAGCAGAGAAATAAATATTGGTGCATATGATTCTTTAACAATTTTGAATAAAAATATGAACAAATAATAAACACCTTAAAATTAAGTTTATTTTAACTCCACTACTCATATCTCAACAATAAGACAGGTAAGATCGTTCATGTGGAGCAAAAAATGAAATGACAAGTATTGGGATATCTTCCCGGAGAAAACAGCTAATCGGGAAGGTTTTCTCCTAGATTAGTCCTTAATCAGAAAATTATAGCAATCACTGATGGAGCCAACTCGTTGATTTCCCTTCATTCTGCTCTTTGGAGCTATCTTATTCCCAACACTGATCTCTTTCTTTAAACCAATGTGGGAGCCGAAGACCAAAGACAGCCAATTCCTCTCAGCAGCAAAACAAGTACTTCAGAGATTCTAGCATTGAAAGTTAGAGTTTGGGAACACAGATACACAGATTAGCCTTTTTACAGAGTTTTGATACTGCTATTCAAGGCTGCCCTACTGGACAACTAGAATTTATACAAAATATGGAGAAATCAAGTGCATTATTCTCTAAAGAAATAGAATCAATAGTGTGTGTGTGTGTGTGAATGAGAAAGATATTTGAGGAACTGGCTCATGTATTTATGGAGGCTGCCATGTCCAAAACTTGCAGAGCAGGGATCCAGAAGAGCCAAGGCTACAGTTCAAGTGTGAAGGCTGTTAAGCTGTAGAATTCCATCTTGCTTCAGGGAAGGTCATTCTTTTGTTCTATTAAGGCCTTCAACTGACTGGGTGAAGACTACCCACATTATGGAAGGCAATCTGCTTTACTCAAAGTCTACTAACTTAAATGTAAATCCCTTAGCAAAACACCCTCACAAAAACATCCAGAATAATGATTAATCAAGTATCAAGGCATCATGGCCCAGTCGAGTTGACACATAAAATTAACCATCACACCAGGTGAAAGGTATAGAGTGAAAAATGAAAGATTTGGGAGAATTTGTGAAAAGTTTCAAAGTGTGCTTATCATTCACCTAAATAAAATGATTGCTTTATGTCATTGGTTCTAAACAGCACCTGTATTTACCACTGACACGTCAAACACCATTAGATGTACTGGATTATATGGTAAAGCAGCTTGGATAGCAGCCTGGAGCTGTTGCAGAGCCTTCTCTTGCTCTGGACCTCACTCAAAACTGGTAGCTTTTAGGGTCTCTCTGTAAATGGGCTATAATATTGCACCCAAGAGTCAAATATGTTGCCTCCAACATCCAAAGAGGCCCACTAGGTGTCGTGTCTCTTTTTGTGGTGAGATGCGACAATGTGTCCTTTGCCTTAGAAGGACTATCTCGACATGCCACATACCACTGGATCCCTAGAAATTATACTGAGGTGGACGTACTTGAATTTTGGTCAGATTTATTTTCCACATTCTGACATGTAAATGTCTTCCCTATAAATACAGTGGAGTTGTTACTCCTTGCTCATTCAGTCCAGTCATCATAATATCATCAGTGCAAATAACCAGTGTAATTTGTTATGGAAGGAAAAGGCTATCTAAGTTTCCGTCAATTAAATTATGAAGCATGGTAGGACAGCCCATATACCCCTGAAGTGGGACAGTAAAGGAGTATTGTTGGCTTTGTCAGATGAAAGCAAACTGCTTCACTGAGACTTTACTAATGCATAGTGAGCGTAAAAGGCATCACTGTATCTGTGTTCCCAAACTCTAACTTTCAATGCTAGAATCACTGAGACTTTACTAATGCATAGTGAGCGTAAAAGCATTTGCCAGATCAATAGTCGCATACGAGGTACCAGAAGATACGGTAATTTCCCCAAGCAATGAACCACATATGGTACAGTAGCTGTGTCTGAAGTAATTGATTTAGCTTTGTGAAAATCTACCGTGTTTCTCCTAGTTTTGTCAGTTTTCCACACTGGTCAAATAGGTGAGTTGAATGGAAATGTGATGGCAGTTACAACGTCTATATAGTTTCAGTGCTTGTTGGTGGCATTCATCACTGATACCCCTCTAGGCATGTGATGTTGTTTTTGGCCTACTATTTTCCTAGGTAAATGCTGTTCTAGTGGTTTCTCTTGGCCTTTTCTACTACTGTAGCCCTCACTTCACAGGCCAAGGAATGAATGTGAAAATTCTGCCAGTTTCTGAGGACGTCTATTTATATTATGCATCCCAGAAATGGGGAAATAATCACAGCCTGGGTTCAGAGACTCACTGGAGCCACTGTGGGATAGATCTGAGCTAAAACTGCATTAATCACCTGACCTTCATAAGTCCCTGTGCCAGCCAGTAGACCACAGTGACATTTTAGTCTGCTGGACTTAGTGCCAATGTTTGCCAACTCCTATACTAAAAAAATCCAGTGTAGTCACATTTATTCCTTTAAATTAGGATTCCTTGTTGCTTAAAGGTTAACATAAAATTATACCCACTTATGCCTTCTTTTTTATAGACTGTGGTTTGACAGTCATATGTCTGCCTCATGACTTGCTCTGACCAGTGTGGCATTAGTACATATGGTAAAAAAAGAGCTTGTGTGAGCTTTAAGACATTGGTGCTGATCCTCTTGGAACATTCCTTCTTGGAAGGAGGTTGGACTACACTTAGATCACCATGCTGTAAGGAAACCCATGCTCATCATGTGAAGCATGGAAAGGCACCAAGACAACCAGCTTTGAGCTCAATGCAGCCAAGTGAAAAATCCCTGGCCAACACTATGTGGAAAGAAAGCAAGCTCAGCCCAAATTCCTGACCCATGGATCACGAAAAGTAATAAATTCCTATTGTTTTAAGCTACTAAGTTCTAGGGTTGTTTACTGTATGTACCAAGTAGATGAAACATAATTTTCTTATAGTTTTCCATACAGTTTTCTAATCACTAGGTTTTCAACTGCTGTCTTCATTTTTCTTACAAATTCATTGTAGACTGTGGGCAAGTTGTGAATACTTTCTGGGCTTCATTTGTCTAAACTTTAAAATAAGGGATCTTTGCTATTTGGCCTCTGAGTGTATCTTTCAACTCTAAAAAATGAAGTATGGAAGATAAATATTTTTAATACACAGTGTTTTAGAACATTTCAAGCAGTTTATTTGGATAATGTTTTCTTTTTCTCTTTATAATAACTGGCTTTGAGAAATCATACAATTAACTTTACAGATTTCCAAATATTTACAGGCTTTCTGTAATTAGGACTTAAATAGCATACTCCACTAATGAGAGAATTCCTTTTTACCATATGGGATAGGATGAGATAAGAAATACTCAGATGGAAAATATCTCTGATCAACCTTCTCTTGAGTGTTTTAATTCTTAAGCTACATAGTAAAGTGTTTTAAAATCCCCACCATTAAAAAAAACTAATTTTTTTCTGTCTGAATTACAAAACTTCAAAGTTGCTTAAGAAGTAAAACAATGCAGAGATATATAAAGAATAAAATTAATCTTTCCTCTGCTATTAATTACACTCTTCAGAAGAAAGCGCCATTTTAAGCATTTCTCTAGACTAACAGGTAGCATTAGATAGATCAGATGGATTCACAGACAGACAAATGGGGGTGGATAGAGGCAAACACAAGGATAGACAGGTAAATAAGATATGTCTATGTGTGTACGTTTATATATAAAAATATGCATGTATTTTAGTTGTTTTAATTTCATTTACAAACAGAAGTTCAATCCATATGCGTCACTTTACAACTTCCTTTTTTTTCTCTCTTAAAAAGGATCATGGACACTAATGAAATCAATACATTCATCTCTTATTCATTCTTTTTAATAGATAAATAATGCTCAATAATTATCCAATTATTCTCCCACTGATGGACATGAAAGTTATTTCCTGTATTGTGTGTCTCAGTCAGCTCAGGCTGCCATACCAAAATACCACTGACTGAGGGGTTTACACACCAGAAATCATATTCCCCCCAGTTCTGGAGCTGGAAGTATGAGATCAGGGTGCTAGCATGACCAGATCTTGGTAAGGGGGTCTCTTCCTGGCTTACAGAAGGCTGCCTTCTTATTGTGTCCTCACTTAGCAGAGAGAGGGTTGGGGGGGCGAGAGAGAGAGAGAGAGAGAGAGAGAGAGAGAGAGAGAGAGAGAGAGAGAGAGAGAGAGAGAGAACAAGAGAGTGCACACACAGAAACTCTATTATCTTTTCATATGAAAGCACTAATTCCATCATGGGAGACTCACCCTCATAACCTAATCTCAACTTAATTAACTCCTAAGATCCCATCCTCAAATAACAACACAAGAAAAAGGTTTGTTGCACAACAATGTGAAAATACTTGACGCTACGGGACTGTACAGTTCAAAATGGATCTCAGTTGGTAAATTTTATGTTATGTGCTTGCGTTTTCTTACCATAATTAATTAAAAAAAGAAAAATATACACTTCAAGCTTGCTTTTATAGAAGAGTCTCTTCTCTAGTATTGAACCTAGGCATTGAGTTAGGTTGAACTTACTGGAAAATAAACCACTGAAATTTGGTCAGCTTATTTTTTTCAAAAAACAAGAGGTCAGGAAGAGAGATGCAGTTTAGAAGTGGTTTGACAGCTACTTGAAGTCCAAGTGCCCCAGGTTCCTCTTGCCTTCTTGTTCCATCATTATTAGCATATGGCTTCTGCATTTTTTGTCCATGTTTACTCTTGCATTCTAAAAAGGATAAAGAATGAAGCCACAAGAAAATATGTCACTTGCATCAAAAAAGGCGCTTTTTCATAAATCAGCAGCATATACTCATTTGTCATCACGTGGCCAGACCTGTATCACACTGAGGACAATGGGAAGTCTATTTTTTATTTTTACTTTTAATATGCATGTATATATTGTATTATGTTTTATATATATGTCACTGTCCTGAACAAATTGGGTTTCTCTTAGTAAGGAAGAAAAGGTGAGCATATAAAGGCAACTGGATATACTTGCCTATTGCTTGAATGAGAATGTTTATTTCAAAGACTCAGATGATTATCATAGAATTAGCCTCACATAGCTCCACAGTCGTCTACTTTTCTTGTTTTTCCTCTACTCTTTTATTCTACTCCGTGCTCTTCCTTGTTCTGTAGGATTGCTTTCTCTGCCTTAACAGCATGCACTTGGCACAAAGCCCTATTGACAGGTGGTCACATAAACTGCTACACATTATGTTCTGACTGGATACAATCTATGTCTCTTAGTTCAACTTAATCAGGTAAAAGTCTGACTGGGTTGCCTGGGAATGAATTGTGTGATCAATTCTGGCCCATTCAGCTCACTAAATATCCACTCTGATACATCTTGCAGTTAGATCGGGGCATGTGACTAGCTCTGGTCAATGTCTGTGAGGTGGAAGTGATTTGTGTCTCTCCTGGGCCGAGGTGGTAGAGCTGGTGTGTCCCCTTCATTCTGCTGTTGACCTGCTGTCCATCCTTGGTGAGGCCACTTCTTTTCTCCACACGTTGAACCACAGAATGAAAGGTGGCTATCTAACTTGCACGACACAGTATGTAAGTGAAAAACTTTTATTTTCTTCAGCCACTGTGATTTGGGGATTGTTATGGGTCATATTGTGCCCACCCAAAAATTCACGTTTAAAAACCCTAATATCCAGTATGTCAGAATCTGACCTTATTTGGAAATAGGGCTACTGCAGAGGTAATAGGATGAGATAAAACTGGAGTAGGATGGACCTCTAATCCAATGACTGCTATCCTTATAAAAAGGGGAAATTTGGACACAGGCACACACATAGTGAGACTACTGTGTGAACATCAGGTCAATCATCTATAAGCCAATAAGAGAGCCTAGAACAGATTCTGTCTTCACGGCCCTCAAAAGAATCCAACCCTGCCAACATCTTGATTTCAGAATTCTAGCCCCCAGAGCTGTGAGAAAATAAACAGCATTTTGTTGTTTTAGTCATACAGTGTGTTGTATTTTGTTATGGCAACGCTAGCAAACTAATATGGGGTAATTTGCTTCTGTAGCATAGAGTATTATAATTTTATTACAATTATATTTTTTTGCTATTATGTTTGTTCTATTATAATTTCCTTGCCTTATGGTTCATGTTTCATTACTGTTTCTTTTTAAGTTTACCCCAGTTTATATATTTATTTATTTAAACATAGCATAAGCCTAGGAAAGTAAAGATAATACAATATTGTTCACAATTAGATAAAGGCTCTTAAGAAAAAATAAACTGACAGGGAAGGGGGTACTACACACTGGGGTCTATTGGGGGGAATGGGGGGGACAGCGGGGTGGGGAGCTGGGGAGGGATAGCCTGGGGAGAAATGCCAAATGTGGGTGAAGGGGAGGAAGGCAGCAAAACACACTGCCATGTGTGTACCTATGCAACTATCTTGCACGTTCTGCACATGATCCCCAAAACCTAAAATGCAATTAAAAGAAAAGAAAACAAACAAACAAAAATCCATGACTATATTAAAAAAAAAAAGAAAAAAGAAACTGAGTAGTATCTTGGGGTCTGTTCATAATCAAGGAAAGTGAGAAAAATATTTGGAAGCTCTAAAACTATGGAAAAAGCTTGTTAACTTGGAGTTTCACTGTCATGCCATCTATTGGATATTTTTTAAATGTCTTCCTCCTTGAGATGATCAGCTTACAGAGTGAAGAATTGTTTATTCTCCTCTCTGGAGAATATTGGACTGGCTGCCATTATCTGGACACAAGTTGTATGACAGAACTAAGGATTTCTGAACTAACTTTTGGGAAGCATATGGTCTCTAATTACTCTACTTTCAGTAGAGTAGTCACACTGTCACCTGTGCCGTGTCAGAGATCCTCTACTTAACCCTCAGTAGAGAATACACTTACAGATTTCTTACTGAGTAGGAGAGAAGTCAATCAGAAGCAGTTCAGAAGGGGAATAGAAGGATCTAGATTTCTAACTTTTCTAAGTGTTTTTACCTTAGTCCTCCTCATGTGAGCTGCACCTGTTTGCCACTAAGACCTTCAAGTTACTAGCCCTTCAAGTTTTAGGGGTGTAAAATGAGCCTTTTCTTTGCTTTCTTCACTGAGGTTTGAGGATTGGCATTCTGAGATCTGCTAAGCAAGTTGTCAAGGTTCTGATAACGAAATTGTATTGTTGCTGTTGTCTCTTCCTCTGCTCTCCCTATCATTGTGGGGTTACACATTAAAAAAAAAAAAAAATTTACTGAAGCTCTGGTGGTGTTGCAGCAGGTCAAAATTAGATGGCTATCTTTAGTTCTCCAACCAAACTCTTCTGACTTTTCTTTACCTGAATACTCTAACTTATTCTTTATGGCCTAGTTCAAAGAAAACATTTTTGTAGCATTCCATAATTGTTATTCTCGTGACTCTTAAAATAGAATTACTTGCTCCTTTAACTGGTGCTCTAGTTTGAATGTTCTCTGAAAAACTCACGTCCAAATATAATTGATGGCATTAAGAAGTGGGACCTTCTAGAGGTTATTCAGCTATAAGGTCTCCACCCTTATGAATGAATTAATGTAATTATTGCAGGAGTGGGTTCCTGACAAAACTAGGAACATAGTCTAATTTTCTCTCTGTCTCTCATGCTCACTTGCTCTTCCACCACATTATGATGGAGCAAGAGGGTCCTTATCCAATGCAGCCCCTCCATCTTGGACTTCCAGGCCTCCAGAACAATGATCCAAATATACTCTTCTTTATAAATTACCCAATCTATGGTATTCTGTTATCACAGGAGAAAATAAACTAAGACAAGTAGGTTACCAGTGTATTTTATATGTGTTGCTATTGAAGTGCTAGTTTCACTGAATTATAAGTATTTGTAACAGATTAATTTCTCATTAGCTCCTAATGGACAAGAACATTATTTAATTGATCTTGGTTTGCCCAGATGGTTTGTGTTAGTTCTTTGATTAGAAAGAATTATATTCTTTAAAAAAAAGAGTAAGTTGTCTTTATAGATTTATTATTCTCAAAAAAATCTACATGAATTTATGTATTATGTTATTTGGTCACTCACTACTCAAATATCAAAATCTGGAATACAATGAAATTTTACAAAATTTGATGACTTAATTTTTTTTAATTAAAAGAAATATTTAAAGTTCCATATACTATATTTTTAATGCACCAACTCTATGCATAAACCACATATCAATGAAGAGAATATTTTGAGTGATTCCTTTGATTTTTAAAAATAAACTCTTTTATTTTTTGAGATGGAGTCTCACTCTGTCGCCAGGCTGGAATGCAGTGACACCATCTTGGCTCACTGCAACCTCTGCTCCCAGGTTCAAGCAATTCTCCAGCCTCAGGCTCCCAAGTAGCTGGGATTCCAGGCATGCACCACCACTCTCAGGTAATTTTTGTATTTTTTAAGTAGAGACAGGGTTTCACCATGTTGGCCAGGATGGTCTCAATCACCCGGCCTCCCATGATCTGCCCACGCTGGCCTCCCAAAATGCTGGGATCACAGCCATGCCTGCTCCGCTAAAAATAAACCCTTTAACAAAACATGTATGCATGCAGAAAAGTCCCCAAATCATGTATGTTCACCTGTTACATGAATGTGTCTACACATTCACGTAACCAATATCCAGATTCTCGGAAGCCCCTTAATGCCCCTTCCCAGGCACTAACTCCACTGAAGATTTGCTCTGATTTTAACCATCAAACTATTTTCTTCCATGAAAATCATTACTTCTCTAATGACCGGTGATAATGAGCATTTTTTCATATGTTTGTTGGCCTCATGTATGTCTTCTTTTGTAAATTGTCTGTTCATATCCTTTGCCCATTTTTTAATGGGCTTGTTTGTTTTTTTCTTGTAAATCTGTTTTAGTTCTTTGTAAATTCTGGATATCAGCCCTTTGTCAGATGGGTAAACTGCAAAAAATTTTTCCCATTCTGTTGGTTGCCGATTCACTCTAGTGACTATTTCTTTTGCCGTGCAGAAGCTGTGAAGTTTGATTAGGTCCCATTTGTCTATTTTGGCTTTTGTTGCCAATGCTTTTGGTGTTTTGGTCATGAAGTCCTTGCCTACTCCTATGTCCTGAATGGTTTTGCCTAGATTTTCTTCTAGGGTTTTTATGGTGCCAGGCCTTATGTTTAAATCTTTAATCCATCTGGAGTTAATTTTAGTGTAAGGTGTCAGGAAGGAGTCCAGTTTCCGCTTTCTGCACATGGCTAGCCAGTTTTCCCAACACCATTTATTAAACAGGGAATCCTTTCCCCATTGCTTGTTTTTGTCAGGTTTATCAAAGATTGTATGGTTGTAGATATGTTGTGTTGCCTCCAATGCCTCTGTTCTGTTCCATTGGTCTATATCTCTGTTTTGGTACCAGTACCACACTGTTTTGATTACTGTAGCCTTGTAGTATAGTTTGAAGTCCGGTAGTGTGATGCCTCCTGCTGTGTTCTTTTTGCTTAGAATTGACTTGGCTATGCGGGCTCTCTTTTGGTTCCACATGAAGTTCATGGTGGTTTTTTCCCAGTTCTGTGAAGAAAGTCAATGGTAGCTTGATGGGGATAGCATTGAGTCTGTAAATTACTTTGGGCAGTATGGCCATTTTCATGATATTGATTCTTCCTAACCATGAACATGGAATGTTTCTCCATCTGTTTGTGTCCTCTCTTATTTCGTTGAGCAGTGGTTTGTAGTTGTCCTTGAAGAGGTCTCTTACGTTCCTTGTAAGTTGTATTCCTAGGTATTTTACTCTCTTTGTAGCAATTGTGAATGGCAGTTCATTCTTGATTTGGCTCTCTTTAAGTCTGTTATTGGTGTATAGGAATGCTTGTGATTTTTGCACACTGATTTTAAGGACATAGAAACAGAAATTCCATTTGACCCAGCAATCCCATTACTGGGTATATATCCAAAGGACTATAAATCGTTCTACTATAAGGACATATGCACACGAATGTTCATTGCAGCACTGTTTACAATAGCAAAGACCTGAAACCAACCCAAATGCCCATCGATGATAGACTGGACTGGGAAAATGTGGCACATATACACCATGGAATATTATGCAGCAATAAAAAATGATGAGTTCACGTCCTTTGTAGGGACATGGATAAATCTGGAGAACATCATTCTCAGCAAACTGACACAAGAACAGAAAATGAAATACCGCATATTCTCACTCATAGGCAGGTGATGAACAATGAGAACAGATGGACACAGGGAAGGGAGCACTACATACTGGGGTCTATTGGGGGAATAGGGGAGGGACAGCATGTGGGGGAAGCTGGGGAGGGATAGCGTGGGGAGAAATGCCAGATGTGGGTGAAGGGGAGGAAGGCAGCAAAGCACACTGCCACGTGTGTACCTATCCAACTATCTTGCATGTTCTGCACATGTACCCCAAAACCTAAAATGCAATTAAAAAAAAAAAAAAAGAAAATCATTACTTCTATTTCTTCACTTAACACAGGAAGAGATAAAGCCATCTTCAGTCCAATGTCTTTGCAGTTGTCAATGTGTAGTTGAGTAAGGAGACCCAAACATCTAAGATCACCTCCTCCTTGACTCCTACACTGCATTTCAATAGAAGAAAAGGGACTGGCACCTCCTAAGTCACCTTCCTGTAGATAGCAGGCATAGTATGGGAGAATCTCTCCGGAAGGCATTGCTTTTACTTACACAAGGTCAAACCCCTACCCAACTCCTACTCTATCAACCAAGACCCTTTCACATGTAATTTCTAAAACTGTAAACCCAAGACTCTTTCACATGTAAATTCTAAAACTGTAAATCCAAGACCCTTTCACATGCAATTTCTAAAACTGTAAACCCAAGACCCTTTCACATGCAATTTCTAAAACTGTAAACCCAAGACCCTTTCATGTGTAATATCTAGTGTTGTAAGCATATATAAAGGCAGAGCTTCTCTTTGTTAAATGAGCTTGGCTGTTAGAGAATACATGTCACCTCGCTCCCAGGCATAATAAAACACCTCTTCCTTCCTAGTTCAGGGTCTGAGAGGTCTGTTTCTAGAGGCCGATCCTGCTTCACGGTAGGCAGAAAAACAGTCCATTAAAGGTGTCAGCACCCTAGTCCACAGAAGTGTAAGGGGTTACTTTGTATGGCAAAAAGGATTTTGCAAATGCGATTAATGCTGAAGGCTTTGAAAAGGAAAGACTACCATGGATTATCCAGATGGGCCTAATCTAATGACATGAGTCTTTAGAAATGAATAAAGAATATGGTGCCCTCTGGAATTTGAGAAAGGCCTTCAGCTTATAGCTAACAAGAAGGGAGAATCTCAGGATCATAAGCAGGTGGGACTGAATTCTGCCAGCAAATTGAATTAGCCTCCTTTAGCTCCTAGGTAGGATAACAAAAGGGTCACTTTTGCAAAGTTTAGAGTTTTTAATGGTTCTTGCTATTTGTTGCTATGCTGAATATATATATATATATATATATATATATATATATATATACACACACACATATATATACACACACATATATATATACACATATATATATATTACTCTGAATCAAACCTGCAATGATTTCTTGTATTTATATTTTCATAAATTTTGCTCTTTTAACAATATTTTAAAGATTTCCTTTGACAAATCCACACCCCCAGTTTAGAATAATAAAACTTTTAGTGTGCCCTTTACATAAAAACTATTTGAGGTGTTCTCTTAATATTTCTGGGTAATGGCAAAGATTTGCTCCCTCATGTAAGTAGGAAGTATGCTAGAAAAAAAAATAGCAGCTCCATATTTCCGGCTACTCAATACTATAGTGAGAGTACTTCTTTTTATGACTTGGGTCAGTATTGTTATCATCACCTAGGAGCTTGTAAGAAAGGCAGAATCTCAGGTCCCACCTCAGGTCTACTGAAGTCATATCAAGGCTTTCTTTTTTTTTTTTTGTCCTTTGGCAAATGACTTGGTGAAAGAAGATTCATTAACCTCAGATCAGCCGAACAGTAATTACTTAACATTTAAGGAACTGATTGTGCAGTGGTTGATGTTTTGCTTTTTAATGGACATAGGAGAAATGCCATTTCTTTTTTATTTACTTCTAACCATCAATTTAACTGGTTGTACTGAGCTAAGTGGAATAAAATTCTCATTAAACAGTATCTTATTCTGACTAACACCTAAGAATTAAAAATAATCTGTAGTTGGGGATGAGGAAAATGAAGACATCAGGGTCAAAGGTTACGAAGTTTTATTTAGGCGGGATGGCTAAGTCCTGGAGATATATTGTACATCATGGTACTCCAGTTGACAATGCTGCATTGTACACTTGAAATTTGGTGAGAGAATAGATCTTAAATGTTCTCATCATATATGCAAAATGGTAACTGTGAGGTTACCATTTTGTGAATATATATTAATAATTATATATTATATTAATTATTGTAATTACTCTCAGTGGAATCTTTGACTTAATCTCTTTCAAATTGTTTTGTTATATCTTAATAGATAATGACATTCTCTTTCATTTTGATATTATGGTTTCTATAATAGTTTAAAAGTAATTCATAAGATTACTATTAAGTATAAGTATACATTACCAAAACGGTAACCTCATATAGTTACTATTAATAGATCCATGTAATGAATATATGTGAGGTATACTAGTTCACATGATTGCAGTCATCACTTTACAATGTATATATGTCAAAACATCACATTGTACAGCTTATTTACATTTTTTATATATCACTTATACCTCAATAAAGTTGGCAACAATTCTATAACTGATTCTAAAATAGATTATAAACTAATGTCATAAATTATTTCTGTAAAAATAACATTTCCTGCTACACCACAGCATTTTTTCCATGCAAACTATAGCTAACCTATTTTATGTTTACTGCCTCAGGGAGGAGTTGTCATCCTAAGAGTTCTGACACTAAGAATTGAATTCTTGACTCTGGACTTTCAAAAGTTAAGGTCAAGACCAGACATTATTTGGAAAAACGAGAAGAATATGTCATCAGTCAGAGCCAAAGTCTAGATCTGAGAGCAAAGAGACAGTATGCCCTGTCCTTCTCCCATCCTCCAAACTCCTACCAGGGCAATGCCCCAGAACTAATAAGGGCCTAAATACCCCTGAAACTAGAGTACAGAATGAGAAGAAATGGTCTTGTAATGTGTCTAGACAAAAGACTCTAAGGCAACCTCACAGATTCCCGTGGTTTCTATAAGGTAAAAACTAACAGCTGAATTTCTTTGGCTTCAGATTGGAGGAAGAGACTACTTTCTGGATAGTTAAGAGGAAACTGGACTTAGCGCTCAATGAGAACCTGGAATGAAAAACAAACATGAGCAATTTACCTGAATAAAGGATAAATGACTGAGGACCAGAAAGACCAAAGTATGTACATCCCAGCAGATGACAACAGAGGACCAGATGCCACATTCCTCCAAGCCTTATCCTCTCTACACAATTTCAAGGAGAGGAAGGGCAACCTACTTTCATGGAAAGAAAAGAAATTAGTAAAAGAAATTGAAAACAACTATGAATCACAAAGGAAGTTGTTATTTGCAGACTCTGTAGTCTGAGATTCATACTCAATTCATATCCTTTACATTTGGATTGGTCTTCAAACATCTAATACTGTGTTCTACAAACAGTATGTACTCTGTAGCTATTTGACAAATTTATTTACTTCATTCTATGTTTGCCCAATTCTCAGTGGCCACAGCTCTCTGTACTCTCCAATACGGTAGCCACTAGCTATCTGTGGTTATTGAATATTTGAAACGTGGCTAGTATGAATTGAAATGTGCTATGCATGTAAAATACACATCAGCTTTAGAAGACTTAGCACAAATGACAAGAATGTAAAAATATCACATTAATAGTGTTTATTGCAAGTTGAGGTGATATTTTGGACATATTGGGTTAAATAAAAATATACTACTAAAATTACTTTCACATGATTCTTTTCACCTTTAAAAAAATGTGCCTTCTAGGCAATTTAAAATTTCGTATGTGACTTGCATCATTTTTCTATTGAACAATGCTAGCCTATATGCTCACTCACTTTGATTTCATTTGCTTTCAACTAAGGAGCTATTGTCATCGCTTAATTTGCTCCATGCATAAGTGGACACTCTATGACTTTATAACATTTACCGACTATGTGTACTGGAAATTATACAAATTTCTTATATCTAATTTCTCGATGATGGGACTTGGGAATGAATAATCATTAGGAATGATTACTGTGTCTGTAATTTGTACAAAAAGGAAGAGATTTTCTTCATAAAAATTAAGACAAACACGTTCATACTGCTAATATGTTCTTAAAACTTTTTGGTGACTTAAATGTAAATAAATATAAAATAATGAATAAATAATTTTTTTAGAAGACAATGAAAACCAGGACAATGAGAAAAAAAAGTGCCTTGAGTGGTTTACTTTGGTTAGATTTATTACCTAATTCATAATGTTATAATAATATGGAGTAACAAATTAAACATAGGACAATTTGAATACATTTTATTTATAAAGGTACAGGGAATCACAAGACAGTACAGTAATCGAGATAGTAACCACTGAGATTTTGTGCCTAAAACTGAAGTTTGCCATTTAGAAAGTTTTTTAGTCTATTTGGGCTGCTATCGTGAAATATCATAGATTGGGTGGCTTATAAACAACAGAAATTTATTTCTCACAGTTCTGGAGGCTGGGAAGTGCCAACAGATTCAGTGTCTGGTAAGGGCCTACTTTCTGGTTCAAAGGTGCTATTGTCTCACTGCGTCCTCACATAGTGGAAGGAGTGAGGGTCCTCTCTCAGCCTCTATTATTAGGAGACTAATTCCATTCATGAGTGTTCCAACCCTGTGACTTCATCACCACCCAAAAGCCTCATCTCCAAATACCATCACCTTGGGAATTCGAATTTTAACCTATGAATTTTGGAAGAACACAAACAATCAGACCATAGAAGAAAGATGTAACCTTCACTTATGGGTATGACCAACTTTAGGGAAGCTGCTAAGGATTGGAGCAGGAGAATGAATACTCTGACTTCACTCTCCGCTGATTCTCTAATCTCCTATGAGTGTTCTTCAGTAACCAAACCCAAACAGAAACCAGAGGGCATTGGAGCCTTGTTGATACAGTTCATATCGATCAGGATCCCAGAGCAAATAACAGGACAAAGGTAAGAATGTACCTATACGAGAGCAAACGGAAAATATATTGCATATTCTGTCTTTTCAGAATCATTTACCATATTGCTAGACAAATAGGTCACCTTCTTTCCCTCATCCCATTCTCTCTTAAATAAAAAAATAAACCTTAAAATTTTAATAGAAGATGAAAGTCTACAATCAGTGCTCTATTTCTTACACACTGTTAGCTTTTCTGAGAAGGCATTACTCCTATGGCCCTGCCCAATGTCTACATATGCTGATGGCTCTAAAATCCATAGCTATTCCCAGGTCTTGTTCCTGCCCTCTAGATGAGCATATCCAACTGCCTGCCAGTTAGCTCCCCCAGATGCCTCACAGGCTTCTCAAACTAATGTGTTCAAGAAAGCACCCTCCACTTACTGCATGATATCCTGATAGAGTTGCAATGCCAAGGAGCATGTTTTCTGTTCATTTTCCAAAATGAGGACAGAAAGTTTAGAAGAGGCTGTTTTAATCATGATTAGGAGAAGATTACACTAATTGTGGTTATTATAAAGATCTGAAAAATCCGTATCATTGTCCATGGTTCATACACCAACACATAGCATGGAAGACTTTTGCCACTAATGACGTCCTCCATGTCAGTCTTAATTTGCTTTCACCTGAATAATTGCACTAGCTAATACTTATTGAATACTTCCTTTGTGTCAGGTATTTAACTGTGCGCAAACAAATTTAAGTCTCACAAGAACCCAATGATGAGGAGGAAACTGAAGCTTGTAGGAGTTGTCATGCACAACAACTCATAGCTGATAAGGGGTGGAGGTGAGTTTCAGACAGCCTAACTCCAGAACATATATGCAGGTCATTCCTCTGCGACACTGAATACAAATTATTCTTACAGTCGAAGGAGGAGGGGTTAAAAAGTCATGAACTTGGAGCTACTGAGTCTAACACTGAAGATGCTAGGGGTAAGGAAAATATAATAGGTCTTGAGGAGGCTGGAGAGGAGAGATTATTAAGTAAAATTAGCCAAAGATACAAGATGTAAGACTTTCTAAAATTTCCTTTTTCTTTTTTAAAACATTAGTTAAACAAGCCTTGTGCTAGAAACGGGATAGAAAAGCAACGAAGACAATTTCAGTCTAGTAAGAAAGACAGGTACATACATTATAATGAATTTTAAAATTAAAATAGATTTGTAGGCAAGGTTCACAGAACATTAGAGAAATTAGATATAGACAGAATTTATTCATTCATCATATTCTTTCACAGGGAATTTCCTGAATACCCGCTACATTATGCTTGAAGCCGGAGAAATAAAAAGGGGAAAGTTAAAATCCTTATCCGGAAGAAACTCACAGTCTAATGAAGATGTTTCCGCGATGGTAGTCAAGTGGCAAGGATGGAACTACAGGAGCAGAGGATTACAGAGCTTAGAGTGCTCAGACAATGCCAATTTAGTGTTACACACGCAAAAAGTTAAGGCTTTGGGTTGGCAACAGTAGAGGATGCTAACGAAGAGTGCAGTGGATAGGTTCAAAGGGCTTGGACTTAACTGACAACCCAAATTGTTGCTAGTGGAATGCAATGCAAGGGGATATGCATTCTTCTGCAGCATCAGTTGTCATAATGTGGAGCATAAAATCGTGCTTTTTACTATTAAATATTTTTACTATTTAAAAATAATGTGGTGCACAAATCGTGATTTTTGCTATTAAAATGCGGATGTACTGTGAAGAGTGAAATGGCATATAAGACTAGTAAAATACTACTGTTAACTAATTTCCACAGCTAGGCTTATGAGTTAGCTAGATAGGACAGTAAACTACAAGGAAATCCCACAGCTGGGCATGCAGATGGCTTTGGCTCTCACTCCTGAAGACTCGTGGGGAGTTCACAGTCTTCAGCTTTCCAGGGATCTAGGGCAAGAAAGCTGAGGAACAATGAGGATTAAGCGTGCGAGAAAAGCCTAAGAGTTAAGCTCACATACTGGAGAGAGGTTAAGGCGCGGGCGACTGGGAACCCGTTATCTTCTCTCTGCTCTCTGCAACTCTTACTCGAAAAACATCCTCCACCTGGTGCTTCTTTGTCGCGAAAGACAGCTGCCCTCTGAACGACTGGCGCCTGGTTGCCTGGGCAACCCTTTTCCGGGGCGCCTCCACGACCTCTTACTATTGGTTTAGAGGACGCAGCCTGCGTCTGATGTCATTTCGTGGCGCGACCAGATTCTGGGGTGGGCCTCGTGGACCTTCATTTCCCAGATCCCGGGCGGCCGGTGGCGAGAGCCGCGGCTGTTGGGAGACCAAGAGCCGAGCATAAGCCCCACCGGCGAGAGGCAGGTGGTGTGTGGATCTCGGCGGGAGAGAGGCACGGTATGAACGGGTCCCCAGAGCCATGAACCGCGGGTACTGGTGTCCCGTCCGCGCTCTCGGCCAACCAGGCTTGCTTCCTGATCTGTTGCTAGGGCCGCCGGACCCTGTTGCCAAGGATTCTTGAGAACCTGAGCGCTTGAAGTGTGCCCCTCCTTTTCCGGGGGAGTCAATCGAGAGTAGCATTCGTTAACCTTAATTGAAACTGGTAAACTCCTTCTCCCTCTGTCCCTTTAAAAAAATCTCGCTTTTTTTTTTTTTTATTTTTTTTGTTTTCTTGTGTCTTCCTCTTTTGCTAACTTTGATAGCATCCTGGCCCTGGACTCGCCTTTAAGTATCTAGAAGTGTAGGAGGGGTGGCTGGGAAGATGGAAAGACGATTCTAAGACCCCCTAAGCAGATTTTACGACCACCTAATACTTACCCTTTGGATTTACTTTATGATTTAAAAAAAGGGGGGGGATTGGGATAATGACTATCGGGCTCAGGGTCTGTCTTTTAGAATTTTACAGAGCTTTACAAATGGAACAGGGTTTCTTTAGTGGGGCTCGTCCTACACTTTTGGAGCTTTCTAGACCTGGATTAGAAAGCCCGAAAAACCGTGGCCTCTGCTGACTGAGAATTTAACAAGCAATTTAGTTCATGATCCAAAACCTGAGTGCGGGAGAAATAAAGTACATACAGGGAAAGATATAGGCTATATCAGCTGCCCAAACAATGATAGAAAGTACACTTTCCTACCATTGACACGGATTCCAGCAGTTCCTTGTGTGGACTTCATAGGGTGGTTGGTTTGCTTTCTGATATTGTGTCATAATTTAAGTGTTCCAGGTTAAGTGGATTTATGGATTCTAGTATCTATAATTAGAATCTTTATCTTGTTTTGTAAAATGAGCGATGACCTTATGAAAAACCACTTAAAAGTGTTACTGAGGATAAGATTTATTGCATTTTCTTTCACAAACACCTCATGCTCCAGGTTTGTCAGTGGCATGCTCCCAGGTGAATAATATTTAAAAACATTGACCACACTTCCAGTTTTTCCTTGGTGTCCGTGGAGGATTGGTTCCAGAACTCACTCCCTCCCCTCGAGCCTCTTTCAGATACCCAAATATCTACCCATGCTGAAGTCCCCCAGTCTGTTCTAGGTATCCGTGGTTGGGTGAATCTGTAGATGTGGAACCTGCATATATGGAGAGCCAACCGTAGTTTGTCCTTAAGGTAAAGGATAAACATTTTTAACAAGTGAAAAAGCAATTGTTTTGGAAAGAAACTCCCCAATACAGGATTTTGAAAGAGGATGTATTTGTTGCTGAAAATTACATTAGTATATTGTATATAAAAATTGTCCTGTTTACTCGTAAACTATAGAAGCTCAATTTTCAGAAATCTAGTCTGTTTTCTAATGTGGCCAGAGGATTGCAAGTGAGTTTCTAACAGTTTGACAGTTTGAATGGAAGAAAAGTTTACTTTTAGACATTTTCTTGGAGATGATTATTTTGCTGTTATTCATACTATTGAAGTTGACATGATTTCATGTTTTCTCATTAGTCTTTCTGGTATTTTGCTCCATATCATAACTTTTTTAATGTATCTTTTACTGTATTGTATCCTCTGTTATGTTTTTTTGTCTATATTGATAATGAATAACTCTCCAAAAAATTTTGAAGTCAACTTTTTATTTTTTTTTTAACTGCAGGAGTGAAAGAGAAACAATGCAGAAATCAGAGTGCTCTGGAGGTACACACTTGAAAAACAGAGTAACAGGTACAGCTTTGTTTTTTAAGTGAAGAGGCCAAGTTTGTTAATGACACTATTCTGGGTTACAGGTGGAGGCAGGGTGAACTTTATTGCTTTTACCTGCTTCTTATGGATGTTGTTTTGTCCAGGTAACGATGATCAAAGGACATCATCAGGCACACAAATAAAATACAGGAATGCAGTTCAACGAAGCAAATCCTCATTGTCAACCAGTTCTCCGGAGTCTGCAAGAAAACTTCATCCTCGACCAAGTGATAAACTGAACCCTAAAACAATTAACCCGGTAGGTCCAAAATGATTCGTAACTCACTAGATTTTTTGAAGGCATTTCTCACAGCATTGAACAATTCTGGATGCTGTCTTGAGTTTTGTCCCTGTGCTAGTTTTGACCTAATGATGAGAGAAGGGCATGTGTTTGTTATGATGAGCTGAGATAATCAGTCACAGGTGGCAGTGAGTATGGAGGTAAGACACAAGTTAACCTGTTTGGGTTATCGCATTGTAGTGCATAAAAAACTGCATTTTAGCTTTAGATTTTATTTGCTGTGTTGTTTTGCTTTCCAATATCAATGAATAAACTTGTATTCAGTTGCCACAGAATGCTTTTCGTGCTTCCATAATTGCATAAAGGTTTCTGACCATTCCTCTGTATTGTGTAAATTAGCTCCACCAGAAATCATTGTAGTACTAGTCTCCTTTGCCCTCTCATAACAATTTAACAAGATTCAATAAACATGGGATTTATGCAATAAAAATAAATATTCAGAAGTGAACACACCTGTGCAACACCAGCTGTTATTTGCTCCAGGCCCAGCTTTGTTAAGGTAAGATGTTAGTGATTTCAACCTTCGATGGGGATTGTGAGAGTGGCTGAAGCTCCTGACTGAGTTTAATGGCAGGTAGAGAATGGCAGGTACTTAAGCAAGGAAGCCAGGGTATAGTGAGCTCTCTAAGAAAGAGAGGATCTGACTTGATAAAGCAAAAGTGAAAAATAGTTTGAGCAGCTGTGTTCCGTTTCTTCTTTTTGTAATCTACAGTGTCAAGGAAATTGTTACCTGAAGAAGGCCCGGATAATCTTGTTGCTCTCACTTCCTTTGCTTATGTTCAGTTGAGGGAGTTTATGGTGACACTTCAATTTTCTTCCTCTCTTTAAAAAAGAACTGTTTGAATTAATGTTTAGTGACCTTAGTCCTAAGTTTTAGTAAAAATTGAGGAAGGTTTTGGGAAATAATAATTAAATAATTTGACCTGAGAAAAGCATGTCTAAGATATGTACAGGCTACCGATGTAAGACAAATGAGTTGGAAGTCAAAATAGTGTTTACCTTTGGGCTGGTTACAGTTAGATTTTTCAACTCATAAGTGTGTTCATTTTTTGTGAATTCGCTATTGTGATTTATGTACATTAAAGTGTATACATTTTAAATATTTGAGTTAATTTTTTTCAAATCGTAATTCAGTGTAGAATGGTATGTAACATTAAGGCGGAGTTTAAATATTGTCTGATATTGTTAAAAATTGAATGGGATAACATTTTTCACTTTAATAGACTTGGTAAAATTTGGTTAAAATTGATAAAAGTAATCCATTCATAAAAAAATTCTGATTTTGTGGGATGTGGAAGATGAAACCATGATTAATCTCTAGAACAAAATTGAAATGCAAAGAAAGGAATTGTTTAGCATTTCAATCAGAAATTTAGTTTCTGTGGGGATTTTGAGAATTTAGGGATTATTTTCATGGCTTGTAAGAGCCAAAAAGATAATTTGCTTGTAGATGGAAGTAAAATATGTTGACAGTATAGTGTGAATTTGTCTTAATTTTTTTCCCCATATGTGTAGTACTTTTTCAAATAACTTTATTGTTATGTTTGTTAGAAAATAATTTTTAAAACTTGTATTTCTTTATCAGCAGAAATTGTGACTAGATGAGTGAAACGTTCCTGTTGTAGTGAATTGTTACACAGAATTCACCAGAGTTCACAGAGTTCACCATTGAGTTTACAGAAAAACTCAATGGATTGAGTTTTGGATAAGAATCTTTTATTATAATTTAATTTGAACAAATTTCCACCTATGTGCTTTTACTCAAGACTCATGTTTTCCAGAGGAGAAAAGAGCTGATTCTAAACTTTAAGCACATTTAAAAACTACCACTGTGTGTGATTAAAAGAAAAAGAAATATAGTTATGTCTTTAAAACAGGTCAATTTATATTTTGTAATTGAGACAACTATTTTTCATTTGATTATATTAAAAGCACCATGTGATAAAATACTTTTTGTTAAATTCTCTTCAAGTCTCTGGTCAATTATATTAAAATTATGCTGTGATTGTTTAGCTATTGTGATTGATCATCTCTTAAATCATCTTTGAGAGTAGGTATAAAGTCAATCTATTACGGTAATATATAGCAAAACTGAAAGGTTGTGAAGTTATACATCTAAGAAAACGCATCTGGGCATATATTTGTGAGAATCTTCTCCATCTTCAATTCTCTCCCTCCTGCCCAGTGTATTCCTTTGTTTTTTTATGGAAGCCTAAAGCTGGTTTGGAGAAATGACTATGCACACCATCCATATTTGGCTGGAGGACAAGTAGGAGATGTGCAGGTGGCAAAAAAACAAATATACTTTTCCTGTACTTAACACCTCTTCTCCATTTAGTTCTCACCTTGAAAGGTCACAGTTGGGGAAGAGGGTAGAAAGAACTATTAATCCATATATGGTTTCAGCTGCCTTCAAGCCTTCTGAATGGTTATGGGTGAAAAGAGATGTACAAAGTGTATTTGTGGTATTCTAGTAGTGAGAGGATTGACAATTTTTCTCAGTTCTGTTGCTGAGTAGAAATGGTGCACTTTGATACCAGCTTGGCAGTTTGAAAAGCAGGATGGCTGTTTGCTTCTGACCTCAGAAGTACAGGTGATAGTATTATTTTCATTTTTCATTTTAGTTTGGTGAACAGTCTCGACCCCCTTCGGCATTTGCAGCTATTTACTCTAAAGGAGGTATTCCTTGCAGGTAAAATCAATATGATTTATAACTGACCAAATTACTCAAAATTACTGAGTAACATCAATATAGTATTCAATTTAAATGTATTGAAAGTTTTATTTACTAGTGAGGTTGAAATAAAGGTGTCTTATTAACACTTTGTTTTGGACTGGTATAGATTCCTGGATGTTGTTGGAGAAAACCATTTAATTCCAATCTACAGTTATTGAGATCTGTGATAAACCATCAATTAGTTTAAGAAATTTACTTGACCCCTTTTTCTAAAATCAATTTAAGCATTCACAGACTTGGGCAAGTTGCAAATTAAAGAATCCTATTTTGTTGGTAAAATGGAAATTGTCAATTTAATGAAATTGTTTATATTTCTTAAATACGTGTGGCTGATTTTGCTTCCTTTCAGATATAATTCCTGCTACCTTTCTAGACAGATATCAGAACTGTTTTTTTTTAAATGGATAATGTATCATTTTAGGATTAATTGCTAAAAAGCATTTATTTCTTTGAAGTATATTCAGTTTTAGCCTGTTCTAGATGATAGAAAATTTTATTTTGATTGTGGAAAGAATCACAACATTTATTTTTTTGTTCCAAAATTCAAGAAATCTAGATTTTAATGGTATTTTCAGATTTGAGGTGAAAAATAAGCTCAAGAAATGTTCTTCAGTTTATTGTTATTTCACATTTAGATTTAGAATTGAAACCCTATTTTAAGGTTCTTAACTCTCTACTCCTTATCCCTTAACAATTTATTGTTGCAAAGATGTAAAAACAATTTTACAGAGACGTCTTGCTCTTAAGAAAATAAGCCTAAAGGAGACAAGAAGTTAAGAACATTACAAAGGAGTTCAAAGAAGCATTTAAGTTGAGAATTAAGTTCACTATCATAATTGCGATGATAGGTCCTTGAGTGTATTTGTACATAAAAACTTAAAAGTTATTTACCGTAAATATATGCAGTTTATTGCATGTGAGTTATGCCTCAAAAACTGTTAAAAGAAGCAGAAACCCTAATTCAGGGGCCACCACTTTATAACCCTTCATGGGCCATATTACCTTCCCTGCCTCAGTTTTCTCCTCTTTAACAGAGATAAAACTTGGTTTTGCCTTCAGATTATTAGTGTTAGGGATACATGATCTATATCTGAAAAACAATGTTCCTGGTAACATTTTTAATAATTACTCCATTTTTTTGTTTGCATTTTTCATTTCTGTAGATTACCTATTGTGTTCATATCACTGAAAGATATCACTTGGAACATTTGCGTTAAGATTCACAGATAGCAACATGTTTAAGCACCAAAATTGTAGCCTTAACACATGGGGTTGCCAAACAATTTTGCTGAAAGAGTAGTAATTTGTAGGATTATTGACATGGCTTTGTAAAATGTCCTTGTACTATCTTACAAAGTTTATGGTATTCCTACATGTTACAAAATCATTTTATGGTTATACTGTATGTTAGATGACCCCTGCTTAATATATAATTATATTTTTCTTGTTGAATTTACTGTCTTTTACATTTTAGATTGGTACATGGTTCAGTGAAACACAGATTACAGTGGGAGTGTCCTCTTGAAAGTCTTTCGTTTGATCCACTTCTTATTACTTTAGCTGAGGTAAATATGCCATCTTTTCTGAATATTTATCAGAAAAAATACTTGAAAAGTTGCATTAAATGTTACTTTGCAGTTTGTCAGTAAATTTCATTCTGTCCCTTTGGAAAAGGAAGCACACAATAGGCATTGAAACACTGCACTCCCTTAGGAATTTGTAGATAAGGGGATGAAATATTTATACTTATTTCAAAAAAGGAAAAATATGTGGACTCATAATGAAGAGAAAGATTTTTTGGTACTGGTGAAATCAGGAAAACATCAGGATTTAAACTTTAAAACTATGTCAGATAATGGTTAGTGGTTCTGTATACAACCAATCATGCTGACATGATGTGTTTCTTAGGAAATTGATACTACCTACCTAAATGTTCTTTTGGAGAACCCTCCAGCTCTATGCTTTACTTGTACATTTCTGGTACAATATCATGGAGGTGGTTTTCTAGATTATTTTTAAAAAGCTTTAGATAGGTTTTTTATATAATTTAACATTTGTGTCAGGAAAAAAAAGTTGGAGTTTTAGCTTCAAATCAATCATTGCTATCTTCTGTGAATTTTATTCCTAGAGTTAGAATAAAAAGACAAATGATTTAACCAGTTGTCTTGTATTTAAACTTTTAATTACTTGCCTTTTTAAAAGTTAAGGGTAATTTCATTGTCATTATTAAGAAACAGATGATTAGAGTTTTCGAGATACTAGTAATAAAACATCTGAGTTCTTTCACTGATATTTTTACTTGGATTAGTTACTGTGTGACTTAATATGGTGCAGTGCCTTTTTAGGTTAGTATCATTTGCCTTTCCTAGAAAACCAGTGGGGCGGACCAAGTGGGTGCAGAACAGAAATAAGTAATTTTATCAATTGAGATTCCTTAATTAAAATGAAACATCAAAATCTCTAGTTCCTCCTTTAATTTTCCAAATATGCTTACTCTCAAGAGTAATCAGTAACTGATCAGTTACTAGCAAAAACTGTAAGTTTTGTTTCTCTTAATTTATCGTTCAATATTACAAGCAGGGTATTTTTATAGGTAGCCTATTTTGAAATTCATTTTTGAAGTTGGTATTAAAGGTTAGGCTGGGTGCTATGGCTCATGCTTGTCATCCCAGCACTGTACAAGGCCAAGGTGGGAGGATCATTTGAGCCCAGGAGTTTGAGACCAGCATGAGCAACAGAGGGAGGAGAGAGACCCTGTCTCTTAAAAAAAAAGAAAAAAAAAATCACATTAGCCAGGCATGGCAGAGTGACATGCTGTCTCAGACAAACACATAAACAAAAAATGAGTGATGTTTCCTTAGTTCTTTTTTAAACCTTAATCCTTTTATACCAGGTGGTGAACCATTTTTTTTTTAGACTAATCAAAATTGGTGATAGCTTTGAAAATATACTGTAGCTGATCACAATACACAGGGAACCCTTTAATTTGGAATATCCTTAAAGGGACTCTAACTTCTGTTTAGAGTCAGCCTGTTACATACCTATTGTCTAAATGTCAATGCTTTTTTTTTTCTGTATTGAGTAGATTTCTATCTTTCTCCTGTCCATATTTACTAATGGGTAAATAGTGACAGAAAAACCACTGTTGAAATCCACTTCTGCCTTTAATCTGAGATTTTTTCTCTTTAAAATGAACTGGATGTAGAACACTGCTTAAATGATGGAACCTGTGATCCAAAATGATGCCCTTGTGGCTGACAGGATATGATGGTTTTCAAAAGTATGACAGCTTCGAAGAAAAGAAAAAAAATTCTTGATTACTATTTAGAAGCAGATATTTAGATCTGAAGGAAAAATTAGTTGAAAATTAGTTTTTTTTTTCTTATTTTAATAGCATTTTAGGTTTTGGGGTACATGTGAAGAACATGTAAGATTGTTGCATAGGTACACACATGGCAGCGTGATTTGCTGCCTTCCTCCCCTTCACCTATATCTGGCATTTCTCCCCATGCTATTTCTCCTCAACTCCCCACCACTGCTGTCCCTCCCCTATTTTCCCCCAACAGACCCCAGTGTGTGATGCTCCCCTCCGTGTGTCCATGTGTTCTCATTCAACACCCACCTAAGATTGAGAACATGCAGTGTTTGATTTTCTGTTCTTGTGTCAGTTTGCTGAGATTGATGGTTTCCAGATTCATCCATGTCCCTACAAAGGACACAAACTCATCGTTTTTGATGGCTGCATAATATTCCATGGTGTATATGTGCCACATTTTCCCTGTCCAGTCTATCATTGATGGGCATTTGGGTTGGTTCCATGTCTTTGCTATTGTGAACAGTGCTGCAGTGAACAGTCGTGTGCATATGTCCTTATAGTAGAACGATTTATAATCCTTTGGATATATACCCAGTAATGGGATTGCTGGGTCAAATGGAAGAAAATTAGTATTTCTAAGCATGATTTTGCAGTTGATTATGTTTACTTCATAATGAGTCAAACTGAAGGAGTTTACTGTTGATTTTTGTATGTTTTGCTTTATCTTTTTTAAAAGATAAAGATCTTGACTTGCTGTGATTGGTTATATCATAAGAGTTCTAACTGTTTCTAATGCCTTTAGGGTGAAAGGCATTGTGAGAAATTACAGTTTTTTTTAATGGTTTCATACTGCATTTCAGTATTACAAATGACATGTAAAATCTTAACATGACTTTAAAATGCACATAGTATGATACTTGTCTAAATATGTTAATATAAAATATTTAAATGTGGAGGAAATTTAGGAACTCATTAAGTCATAAAATCATTGTAAATGTAGGGAAATCTCATAGTCATACTTTCATAAAGGAGTAGTTATAAACATATTTTAAACTAATTTGCCCTGCTTTCAGAAAGTGTTTGTACATAACAAAATGTTTTTATTATCCTAGTGAGTTTCCCTTCATTTTTTCTCCATTTACCTCTTTTCCTCCTTCCATTCCCTGCTTTTCCTTCCTTCCTATTTTATTTTCTCTTTCTTCTTTACTTCCTGTATTTTTGCTTGCCTCATCTGTTTCCCATTTCTCTTTCTTTCTCTTTTTTCCTTTTCTTCTCCCTTCCTTCCCTTCTGTGGGTAGAAATTACTCCTGTCTCATGTACAGTTGACCCTACGTATTCATGGGTTCCACATCTAGGGTTTCAACTAGCTGCAGATCAGAACGATTTAAAAAAATACAATGCAACAATAAAAAATACAAATAAAACAATGTAATATAAAAATTATTTATATGACAGTTACATTGTAATAGGCATTATAAAAATCTAGAGATTATTTAAAGTATATATAGTATGTCCAGATACTATGCTATTTTATATGAAGAACTTGAGTATCCATGGGTTTTGGTATCCAGTGAGGTCCTGGAACCAGCCTACCTTGGGATACCAAGTGACCCTTTGTCCCCCCAGTTTCTCAGTATAATTGAAATTGTAACTGCTGAAATTATAATCATGAGTAGGAAAAGAATAATGAAACTTTAAATTTTTGTTTAGGCAAGTAAAGACTGAATTTGTCTGTTATTAGCATAATGAAATGGGTAGTAAATCATGTTTCTTCTTGGTTTTTGGCAGGGTCTGAGGGAGACGAAGCATCCATATACCTTTGTGTCAAAGGAGGGTTTTAGAGAATTACTTTTGGTCAAAGGTGCTCCTGAAAAAGCTGTTCCTTTGCTACCTAGACTGATTCCTGTGCTAAAGGCAGCTCTGGTATGTCATTTATCTTATTGTACTTTCTATTTCAAAACATGTGATAGAAAAGAAAGCTGTAATATATTTAGAATATTTTATGCCTTTTTGTACTCCAAATTAAATGCAAATGAGTCCTTTACCTGTGATTCTGACATATTTGCAGAATTAGGCTACTGTTACTCAGGGCCAGATGACTACATACTTGAAGACACTTTTAGAGGATGTACTAAAGGTAAATAGGGACATTGTAAGTAATTAGAGAAAATAATGTCAGCTCAGTCTTTCTGTCTGCTAGATATGTTTTAGTTACTGCTTTAGTCAGATCAAAACTTTCTTTTTTCTTCTGGATGTCCTGTATTGAAGGTTATTTTTTACATTCTAGATTTTGTTGACTCTCTTCTGATTTTAAATGTTTAATCTTATGCTTTTCTCCACCTGCTTGTTGTTTTTTCTAACCTGTCTTTCCTTTTATCATCCTCTCTCCCTTGATCCGCCTACACCCCCAATCAACCAACCTTACAGGTCCATTCGGATGATGAAGTGTTTGAAAGAGGATTGAATGCTCTAGTTCAGCTAAGTGTTGTGGTTGGTCCTTCTCTAAATGACCATCTGAAGCATCTGCTTACAAGCGTAAGTCACTTCAAAGATTAGATAATGGCTGGCTGTATGTGTCATTCACTGTCCATATATCTTCATGCTTTAATAGCTTCAAATCTTTAAAATAACTCAAAACCTTACAAAATCTAATTTTTAGCAAAAAAATGGAGAGATCGTTTGTAAAACATTTTACTAATGGACAGCATTACTTTCTCTTTTTTAAATGGAAAGCACCTACATGAGCAGGGTTTAGGGTTATAATAAAAAGTAAGCCGGCTGGGCATGGTGGCTCATGCCTGTAATCCTAACACTTTGAGAGGCAGAGGTGAATGGATTTCCTGAGCTCAGGAGTTTGAGACAGGCCTGGGCAACATGGTGAAACCCCGTCTCTACTAAAATACATAAAATCAGTTGGGTGGTGGTGTGTGCCTATAGTCCCAGCTTTGGGAGGCTGACACAGGGGAATTGCTTGAACCTGGGAAGCAGAGGTTGCAGTGAGCCAAGATTGTACCACTGCGCTCCAGCCTGGGTGACAGAGCGAGACTTCATCCAAAAAAAAAAAGCCAAAAGTTGGATAAAAGCTAAGGAACAGTAAGATGATATTTTGCTCATGTTGATTAACTATGAATTATAAGCAGTGCTCATATACTGTCTTGTGTAATTCCATGTTAGCAAACGTTATTTTTTTTATTAATGTTTTTCTTTGTTTTTCATTTTGGTGTTTTAGTGAATCTGTAAATTGCATTCAGGAAGAGACTTTTTCCTGATATGTGTAACTTTAATCTTTACTATAAATATATTCTGGGACACTATGCAGCTCACGAGGTTCCCAAGACCACTCTTAAGTTTGATTATTTGCCAGAAGGATTCAGGGAACTCAGGATCTGTATGGTTTCTTACAACAAAATGATAAAGATTAAAATCAGCGAAGGTAAGAGGCACATAGGGCAGGGTCCAAGAGAGACCAGGAATGGAGTTTTCAGTTGTCTTCTCCCAGTGGAGTGGTTCATGCAGCGTTTACTTCTTCCAGCAGCAATGTTTGGCAACGTGCATGGAGTATTGCCAAATTTTTTATTGCTGTCTGTCACACAGGCAAGACATTATGTAGGCAAGACACATGTCGTGTGATTGACATTAATCAACAGCCTCTCTAGAAGTTGAGCTAATATCCTCTGAACCAAAGTTCCCACCATAAATTACGTTGTATAGACTGCCTGGTGTCGCCCCTAAACACCCATGTTGACAAAGATACTCTGTCCGGCAGGACATTCCAAGAGCTTAGAGGTTATCATTCAAGAGCTAGGGGCAAGGGCCAAACATTAGGCAAGGGAAAGTCTATACTGCATACCGATAGAAAGATTGAAGTCTTAGATAGGACCTCCCTGCCTGCATTCTTCTGTATTTCACAGCTGAGGCATGATTTTGATCATGGTTTTACTGTTTTTTTCTTGGATCCATCCATATGAGAGATACTAGAACTGTATTTTTAACTTCCTATTCTACAAAGAGTGTAATACACCCCCGGAACCACCTGGTTGACATTATTAGGAATAGGGGTGATGGTGACTCTATCAGGATAGGTATACTGGTAGGTGATATTTAAATTCCATGAGGTTTCAGGTGGGCAGAAGACATAGAATAGATTCTCAAGCCTTGACATGTGAGAAGTGTTAGGACAGAAGAGAGAGAATCTTGGCAGATATTTGTAAGCTTCAGGTCAGGAAGTGTGGCTGACCAACTACAGGAATTTCACACTAGTGTATAAAATGACTCTTTCAAATATTCAGTAGTGTAATAATCTCTTGCACTCTGCACTTTCCCCTTCTGTTTTGTTCCGGGTACACCAAGCATTGAGAATATAATGCATGCTCTCAGCCCTCGTGGAGATTAATTTTGGTTTTGGTTTTGTTTTTTTTTGCAGGTGGGTGGGGATGTAGAAATAAGCAGTACAGACATCTGCTGAGAAAATTGGGATGGGGTCAAGGGCATGTGAGATGTAAAGAAAATGACTCACACTGGATCCTTCATCAAAGTCAGTCAAGCAAGGATCAGAACCTTAACTACCTAAATAGCCAAGTCCCACCTCCAGTGGCAGAAAGAAAAGGCCAGACTAACAATTGTATAAATTTGTTTTGTTTTTTAATCTTTCTGGGTTGGTGGCATTTTCTTTGGTCACTTGAATTCCCCCTCAGAGCTCTGCTTTTCCTAGGCAAGGAGTGACTGAAAGGGCCTCTAGCTTTCCTGGGCTGTCGGCACTTTGGGAATACTTAGACACCACCCTGACCTTCAGATTCTGGTGTTATATAAAGAGGTCTAGAAGTAGGTTGTGTGAGGGTTAGTTGCTGGTCTGTTAGCCACTCCCTATGAGACAAACACCACTGAGGATGTCAGTGCAGTGCTATTGGACCCCCTTCATCCCTCACCCCCATCTTCCACACCCTTCAGCCTCAAAGCCTTCATTTTCATCTGGTTTATAGACGTTTATATTAGATATTTATTGGAAGAAAGAGTACTCTTCTAGAAAAAGTTTTTTAAAACCAGTTATTGAACCTATATACAACTCATTTTTTTCTCTATGCAAAATAAACTATACCTTTTCTGAGCTGCAAATGTATGGGACTTTAAAGAGGGAATAAATCACCTGAAAATCTTGCTTAAAATGTAGCATCTGGGCTTTTCCCTGAGATTCTCAATTAAGTATGGTGTGAGACCCAAGAATCTACATTTTTAAACAGCATCTCCAGTGATTCTGATGCTGATGGTCCACAGATTTGCCTATGAACTTCTATGCTATACAGGGTGTATACAGATTCAGTAGGGTAATTCAGTCTGAAGAAAGCAACTGAAAGACCATAGAGGGACCTTGTCCATCCCCAGAGCATTCACTGTTACTAAATTGCTCAGGTAAATCCTCCACCCTTTGTCCTCTCTTCCCATTTTATTGTGGGAAAATGTGTGTTTTAGAGGCAAAGCTTTCCATCCTGGTCCTCTGAATGTTCTTGCAAATTACAAAATTGCAAAATGTGCTATTTTTTAGAAAACTTCAGATAGCATACTATAGCAGATCTTATAGGATTGGTTTTACTTAAAAGAATGTAAAGTCATTGTTTTTTAAAACATACAGAGGTACCCCTTATATGTAAATTTCAATGAGATGCTTCCTAAAAGAAGCCTTGAAATCTAAAACAAGGGGTGCTCCTGAAGATTTACTTATGTGTATGGTGAACGTGGTTAATTTTAAAGTCATTTCATTTCCCCCTAATCTTACTTTGAAAGCTTTCCAAAAGGTTAATGGACAAGAAATTCAAAGAGCCAATCACCAGCGCATTACAGAAGCTAGAGCAACGTGGCGGAAGTGTGAGTAGAACATTATTCCTTAAGAGTCTTTTTTTTTTTTTTTTTTCAACTTTCAGGCATATTAGTAAATTGACTATATATTTAACATGTACTCCTCATTTCAGCCACAAGTAACTATATGAAATTGATACTGTTATTTTCTTTTTAGAGCTGTCTCTTCGTCACACTGTTTTTCAAGCCCTGCAACTCAGACTCAGGTTGAATAAACACAGGGCTTGTACGCTTCCACAGTGCTTAATATGGCACTGCATGTGGCATAGTGGTACAGTTTTTTTCTTTATTTTTAGTGGTTTAGTTTTGACCATTGAAAAGTTCAGAAAACCAAAGGGTTAATTTAGCTCATTGAGGAAGAATATTTTTCCCTTTCATTTGCTGTCTTTTCTGCCTCAAACGTCCAAATAATTGCACTATTCTCTCTGTAAGTGCGTGCATACCCTCACAGGTGTACACACACACAGACACGTGCACACAGTGCTGGAATAGTTTAATTGATTATTCTAACTTTTCAAGGTACAAAAATATGCAGGATTTCATAACTTTCTGGTGTCAGATTACTAGATTAATTGAGTTTTCAGCATTTGAAGGAAGCATTCAGATAATCTAGTCTTAGAAATATTTCCATAAAAGCAGTCTTGCTTTTGGAAATTTTGTTTAATCAGATCTTGATAGAATTGCCTATGACTGTCTTAATATTGCAGAACTTAGTTTCATTCTAGGTACTTGCTAAAGGAATTAATTATAAGAAAATCTGTGTGATCATATACAATTTTAAAATGACAGACATAAAGCTTTAGCAAAATTACCTAATTTGACCAATTTCAATGAGTTCACCAATTTCAGTGGTTTCATTGATTGTAATCTTTCCATCATGGATGCCTAGAATAAAGTTTACAGGAGGAAGTAAGTCCCTAAGCCTACAAGATAATGAATTTCTTTGTTGTGTTTGGGTGCTAGGCAGAGAATTAGCATTCAGAGACCTTGTTGAGGAGATGTGCAGAACCATCCTCTAGTTAATCCCATGTCAAGGAAATTCTTGTTTGCTCTTCTGAGAATTTGAATGCAAAATATATTTTTCCTTTCTTCTGTGGAGTGGAAGTAAACAGAGGCTAAATAATGATGCCACAGCTTTTCAGTAGGAAACCCTCCCTAAATGGTTTTCCATATCCTATGAGCCGGTATGGGAGATGGGACAAGTAGAAAGGGACAGGACCAGCATGTCAGATTTCGTGGTGGGAATGGAGGGGGTGTGGAGCAGGAGATGGTATGCATGTAAATAAAGTTTAGAAACAGCGCATTAAGATTTGGAAGGGGAACACAGAGGCGTAGTTGACCAATCCAGGATTCCAGAAATATCAAATTCTTTTGTTGCTACTACATCTTACTAGCATTGAGTGTTGCTAATACAGAATTTTTAAAAAGATTTTATAGTTACAAGGGCTATTATTTATTTTCTTCTGACTCCTCATGTTTCTTCCTTTTTATATCCTACTTAATATTATAATAATGATTGACAATTAGAATAGAAAAATTTCTATTGCAATTACATGCCAAAGACTTTCTTGGCTTAATAGTTATTTTGCTAGCTTCCATTACTTCGTAATCCTTCATGAAATTAATGAATGTTCTTCTTTCTCTTCTAAAAGCTTATGTATCTCTTTCTTTTAATGTTAGAAATAAGTCTTTAAAAATGATTGTTCTCAGTTGCGGTTTCTCATTTCTTAGGAGTTGTGTATATCAGTGATGGAACTATTCAGCCTCTGGGACATGAAAATATCTGTTACAGTCACAGTGTTACTTTATTAGAACTGATATGCCTTAAATTGAAAAATCAGTTCATTCTTAGCCTGATTTGATTTTTTTTCTAAGTGAAATGCACATTTATTTTGGGAAAGGCACAACACAGACACTGATCTTTGTTGATTATGTGGGAACTTATTACATGGTATACTCTGCTTGAGTACTTTTTAGATATAAAACTCATTTACTCTTCCTAGTCATCAGAGAGACATTTTATCTCCCTTTAAAGATCAAGGAACTTAGGCACAGAGAGGTAATTAGTCCAGGTTTGACAAAGAAGTGACTAGTAGATGCTGTATTCAGGTCCTGGTAGTCTCGCTTCTAACTGCTGCTCTAGTTAGATACTTAAAAAAAAAAGAAACAGCCTATATTTTATGTAACTCGGTAAAAACACTTCTTATGTCATCATTTTGTTCTAATCCCTTTTTGTTTGTTTTGAGTTTTGGATACTTTCTAGGCATATTCCTGCAAATACAATACCTATTGGGGGAACTCTGCATGAGAGTAACGATGCTCAATTTTTTTTTTTCTGTCGACAGGGAAGCCTTAGCATCATCAAATCTAAGATTCCAACATACTGCTCCATATGCTGTTGAAGAAGGGAGCCAACAAACATTGTTTTTTCTTCCTGTTGACATATCAAACACTGACCCCAGGTACTCATGGAACCTTTATTCCATTTTATTGTAAATCACAGCCATTATTTATTATTCACTAGGTTAAGATGAATATACACTGAATCAAAGTTATTCATCAACAAAAAAGAAGTTACTAATGGAAAGTTATTAAAGTAAGTTCTATAATATAATTTTGTGAGGTTTATTTTTTGTATTTTTATTATTTGTGTGAAGAACCATTATTGAGTTTGCAAGATAAGATGTATTTTCTAGTGCCTATTTATACTTGTTTTGTAATCAAATTTGTAGCTGTGCACTTATTTTCCTAGATATTTTGCCATTTCTTGGGTTTCATATTTAACAAGGCTGTAGAAATTTAAAATAGTGAACAAACATTTGTGAATACACTATTTTAAAATTGTTTTAAAAGAGAGAAGGGGTCTTGCTTTGTTGCCCAGACTGGAGTACGGTGGCATAATCATAGCTCACTGCAAGCCTTGAATTTTTGTGCTCAGATGATTCTTTCATCTTAGACTCCTGATTAGCTGGGACTACAGGCATGTGCCACCCTGTCCAGCTAATTTTAAAATTTGCTTGTAGATATGACTCGATGAGGCAAGATACATTGAGCATCAATCATATGGTTCAGTAGAGCAGTGGTGTCTACACTAAGATGAATATTAGAATTACCTTAGGTGCTTCTGAAAAAATTCCTAGGGCCTCACCCCAAAATACTAATAGTGTTGGTCACGGGTGCAATATACAGTTTGAAAGCTCTTCTGGTGATTTTATTTTATTTATTTATTTATTTATTTGGAGGTTTCAGTGGGATGGGAGAATCACAAGGAATCAGGTGTTCAGAGGAATGTATTGAGTAGAGGTGAGGAACTAGGATGTTGAAAAGTAAAAAAAGGAGAGAAGGAGAGGAAGAAAGAGGAAGAAAAAGAGGGAGAGAGAACACCCCTTTACCTTCTGCAACATTTGTGAGGTTCTGAGGACCAACACTAGGTTTCATGTACATCCTGCAGAACCATGAACTAAATAAATCTCTTTTCTTTATAAATTAAAAAAAAAAAAAAAATTTGCTTGTAGAGACAGGATCTCTCTCTGTTATCCAGGCTGGTCTCGAAATTCTGAAAGCTATCCTCCGCAATTGATTTCCAAAGTGCTGGGATTACCGGAGTGAGCCACCATGCCTGGCCCCATGAGTACACTATTAATTAGTGTTTGTAAATACGTATTTTATAATGTACAATGCAGGGAAAATTTTCAGAGTATTCTAGTTTAAGACTTTTTTTCTAACTGTGAATTCTATTACAAGTATGTTGTTTATTACAACTCATTACAGCTACCTAAATTTTGGGCATTAACTGTATTTAAGTAAATGTTATTTTTGCATTTCATAGCCAGAAAATACTGATGTTCACATAGATACTCAGCAATTAAAATCTGAAAACTCATATATGCATTCATTGATTTTGTTGTGCTTATGTTTAGCAATTACTTTTTAAGGAGCTTTTAAAACATAATTTAGACATAGTTCAGAATTTTGATATAATAGAAGCGATTCCCTCTGCAAGAGAGGAGTAGAGGTCAGGAAGAGAAATGGAAAACAAGAATAAGACCTTTTATCTTATGGGCAAAAGGAGAGGCCATAGGGATTTCTGTAGCCATACCATATCCAAAGCAAACAAGACTTGAAAGGGATGGAAAGGAAAGATCGGTCTTGTATATAGGAGCAGCAGTGTTGCATCTCAGAAGCTTTGAACAATGCCCTTTCTTTGCTCTATTCCCCAAACACCTGGAGTGAACTCTGTGATTCTCATTTCAGATATAATCTCACAACTGTAATTTGAAAGAGTTCAAGTAATTTCTGAGGGTTCTTCATGTAGAAATGCTCCTCCTCCCTCAGAACTTGTCTGTCCTGAGCCCTTTGTCTATCTGGCATGCTTTTTCCGCAGGTCTCTACTCCCTTGTCACATCCTCCAATCGCACTGGATACAGCAGCTGTCTGCTTGCTGGCCTTGTTTTTACCTGTTTTCATAGCATTTAGCACCATGCAGAGATATCTGTGATCTAGAAAATACTATAAGAAAAAGTCTTGTTTAAATCTAATAATTACAAAATTACTTGAAAAAGACCTATAACATAGACAGTAGAGTTATAAACATTTTATTTTGCTTTTATTTTTTCTTTTTGAAATACAAAATGTGCACATTGAGTTTACACGAACACGCGATGGCAAATTTCAGTGTACATGTATTGTACTACTCTTAATTTCTACACTGGTGATAGCAGGGCAGCTTTCAACATCCTATCTCTACACCAGAATAGATACCTGATTTATTGTTGCAAAGACAGTGGCAAATTTCCTCCTTCTGTAGCCTTTTGGTCTCCGTGATATTTCTACAAAACAGGGAAGATGTGTGTGTCTTTAGTAATGTGACAACTTTATAGTTTTGGCTAAGATCATTAAAAATAATCTGAATTGTTGGAATTTTATAATGAGCTAAATCAGACTGTAATCTGGATTAGTGGTTGAGCACTTATTTATTTTCTACTAAATCTTGGTAGTAATTCTCAATGTAATGGAATCACCGGTGCTTTCAAAGTGAATTTTGCTTACTGCTGGTTCCTAGTAGACAATGGGTAGTCAAGGTTTCTTTGTCCCTGAATGGCTTGTAGTATAAACATGCTGTGAGGAAGTCAGGGAAAGAGGACAGATTTGGCCTTTAATGCTGTTAGGAGTACTTGTTACTAAGCATTACTGTATACTGGCGGATGGAGATCCTGACTCTTTGCATATGTCTGTAAACATCCTTATTTTGTTTGATGCCTTCTTGAACTTCCACTTGATACAATAAAAAACAGCCTGTAAGATTGAACAAATCCAAAATTATATAGGCCTTGGCTGTAATATATTATGCAAAATTAATTGCTTATTAAAATAAGTTTTATTAGGCATATGCTGATATCTGATAATAAACTGTTAAATGTTGTTTTAAAATGCCAGATAAATTAATTTCTAACAGAAGGTGGGAAGGCCATCGAAACTGGAACTATGTGTGTTTTTAATTGTCATAATCTTGTTTACTTAAAGTATGTATATAAATGGAATTACAGCATTCAAACATGAAAATTAATTTCTGGAAATTAAATGCAGATGTCAGTATATTAGAAAACCATTCAAAATCCTAAGAGTGAATACATACAAATGAGTAGCAAAAAACACTGGTATTTTAAAACCACTGATATGTGAAAGCCTCAATAATCCCATGGCTAAGGAATCAATAAAACTATATGCCAGATTGTTACTTTTGAATATTCACAGGGTATGAAATGAGTTAAACATCTCATGAACTCAGTGGCATTATGTAAAGGATGCAGATTTATAACTGAGAAACTCAAATCTTCTGGGGATTGCTTTATATTAAAACAAAGCTTGTTTGCATAATAGGCTTCAGTGTCAAGCTGAGCAATCTATGCTAAAAGTGGTAGCTCCAACTTTAAGTGTGGTAGAATCGTTCACATTTGTCTGTTGGATTGAGGATCTATTTGACAAGTTAAATCACATTTTCAAAGAGCTGCATGGAGCGCATTATGTTTTCATCCTGAAAGGGAGAAACATAGAGTGATTAAATTCAGCCTGTCTTCAAGGGAAAGTACACTGCTTTGCCCCTAAGTATTGCCTCCCACCATCCACCTATGCCAAAAACTCAAATATTAAGTGTTGGCAAATGTAAATGCCATTGTATCCATTTTCCACATAGATCACTATGAAGGAGGACCCATTTTATATGTTGTGGAGTCTATTGACCAGGCAGTAAACCACTTTATTTAACTCTTACTAGAGGCTATTTCTCAAATCATAATGCCAAAAAGGAAACTACAGAGGGGCAGAGGTAAGTCAAAGCAATGAAAATTTTGGCATTCTACGTAGATCACAGGTCAAATCACAGAGATTTTTATACAGGTACAAGGAAAATTTGTGTGTGTGTGTGATGAGCCAGCAGCTCATGAAGATTGGGTGCTGGAGCATAGGAGGCAGGGTGTTGGATTAAGAGGGAACGTGTTTGCAGTAATTATCTCTCTTTCTGTCCGCTAGTTATGGCTAAACCTGTGTGACCTGAAGGAGCCTTTTAAAGTGAATGGTCTTAATTACAGAGAAAGGATTGGGGAGCAGAAACCACTGCCCAGTGACTGTATTCGGTTGAGCATATTCTTTGAAATGAGTTAGGGGACAGACATTGGGCATTATTGGAGCACTTGTCAGTTGCATGTGAATAGCACTTATTGAGCTGTTTATGGTGCTGGTAAATGTGGCTAAACCAGTAATAGCTTCCACTGCTAGAAACCAACTAACAACATCGCCATCAAGCAGCTTAATGTCACCAAATTAATTCTTAAAGACCACCACGTTGAAATCCAAGTTGAGAAACAAGCAGACGTCCAGAAAGGTAAGAACAGCAATTTAAAAATAGAAAATCTTAAGAACAGATTTGTTTTTATGATAATTTGAAGTTGTTTTTTTTTTTGAGGCAGAGTCTCTTCCTGTTGCCCTTCATCTAGAGTGCAGCGACACAATCATGGCTCAGATGGGCTCAAGTGATCCTCCTGCCTCAGTCTCCCAAGTAGCTGAGACTTCAGGCACATGCCACAATGCCCAGCTAATTAAAATTTTTTCGTAGACTTAGGGTCTTGCTATGTTGCCTACGCTGGTTTTGAAATCCTGGCCTTAAGTTATCTTACTGCCTCAGCCTCCCAAAGTGCTGGGATTACAGGTGTGAGCTACTGTACCAGGCCTTAAACATTTTTAATTATTCTACCCACACATCAAGTCAAATAAGTCTAAGTAAGCTAACACTGGTTTCTTAGATAATAGACTACTACTTGGAGTTCTCTTCAAAGAAAATTTTCCACTATTTATTTTTTATGACTAAAGACCATTACTGAGTTCAGCCAAAGTTTCTTGTCTACAACACTAAAACAGTGATTTTTCCCTTAGAAGTCAGATAAAAGCTTGGCCTGTTGTGATGCATACTTGGCTATCTAGAAATTTTAAATCTATGGCGATATGATAGATAACATATGAGTTATGCCAAGTCTGGACAAAGAGCAATTCAAATTTCATATGTTTTATCCTCCATGACGAATACACTCTAAGGAATTTGGGAATCAAAAACACAGTACATGTGCGACTTTTGTATCCCCAGGGCTTTGTACATAGCCTGACTCAGTAGGCACTCAGTGTTGATTATGTCAATTGGTGCTTGTTTGCAGAGTGGTGGGCTCATGTTGCATGTTGTAGAAGTGGTAAACTTAGGCATATGATCTTTCTATTTTGCCCGGTTCATGGTAGCTAGCTGGCAATCCTCAGTTTAGTTGATGTGATAGCTGAAGTGATAGTTCTTATACTTCAGTTACTTACTTTTTGGCAGCTTTCAATGAACTCATCTATGGTGACGACCCCATCTTTATTTTTGTCCATTTTCTATTCAGGAAGGAAAAAAAAAAATGGTATTTAGACTTATCCCTTAATACCCTCACACCTGGACCAAATGAGCTGAAGCTGATAAAAAGAAAGCCTAGCTGCTTATTTCACATGGAGGAACGGTTTCACAGCAGGAACCAGTGGTTTCTTAGAGCTAAACATGTAGGGCCAAACCCTTTTAGGCTGTTCCCTTTTCAATATAGAGTGGTGAAGATTTAGAGTCACTCCGTCCTAGGTAAAATCCTACTTTCTGGATATGACAGAGCTTGGGCAATTTGCTGAAACTTTCACAGCTTTCTTTTTCTCTCATCTGTAAAATGGGATTAATGAGGATTGATAGGATTCTTGTAAGAACTGAACGAAAACAAAACTTGTGAAACGTGAGAAATGTTTAGTGTTGTATCAAGGATTTAGTGAATATTCAATAAGTGTAGTTATCAGCATTGTAAATTCAAAACCAAAGCTATTAAACTACTGTTTTGTCTCAGTAAAAATGATTTTCCTTTGCTTTTTTTTTTTTGAATCATCGAGGTGCTTGGCAAACATCAGGACTTTATCTCCTACTTTCATTCCCTCTTGACTTCTGTTTTCATTCCTACCTGAAAAAATGTTTCCACATGTTGTCTGGGAGCATCTTCTTTGAGGACAGGATATGTACATTTACCCATCATGTCATATATTGCTTTCATTATGTCAAGCATTTCCTGAAAAGTAAAAGGCACTTGCGTGAGGCTGCACATATGTATGAAGAAACCAGGCTAAGAAGCTCTGACGGATGTTTCCTACTCAATTTTAAATCTTTGACTTTTTGTTTGTTGGATTCTTTGTTAGATGACTGTTTGTTGTCCCAAAGGAAAAGGCAACAGCAGAAGAATCAGAATGTAAGAATTAATTCCGATCTCTTGGTTTCAAAATGAAGCAAATTTCCATGTATTTAACATAGGAAAAGAATATGCTGGTTTAATGTTTGGATTTCTATAGACTTTAAATAGACTTGGATTTCTATGGACTTTAAGTAGACTATATTTAATTGAATCATTATATATCTTATGTGTTGATTATCAGTTTCCGTCTGTTGAGAATCAAATATAATGCACACCATATATTGAGAAAAAACACCACTTAGAATTAGTGAAATTGGCAAGTCTCAAAGATCAGTAGGATTTTTGTTGGTTGTTGTATTTTTTTCTACTATGGCTTTAACTGAAGACACACCTGAAGACTAGTCAAAATATTTTGACCCTGGGAAACACCTTGAAATATTACTAACTTTTTATCTGAAACAGTCTAATTTTTGCCTTACCATTTTCATTCTCATGAGAATAAAAATACCTAATAACTTAAACATTTAGATTTATTGTTGCACTTTTGTTTCACATGAAAGATATCTTGATTAGGTTGATCATACAGATCTAATGTATATTTACTTTTAAGAGTATTCAATTCTATTATAAATGATAAAGTAATTTGTAAACAGATGAAACCTTTTAAGATGTTTTAAGTATAGATAAGTAGCAAGTAGTTTGTTAGACAGGCGGAATTCTTGAGATGTGTTAAACAGAGACAGGTAGAAAGGAATTGAAGAACAAGAGATATTTAATATTCCTGAGGTACCTGAGCAATATTCATGGTATAAAAATATATAAGAAGCACTATTTAAGATATGCTCTATATATGTGAACACTTGATAGTCATGAGGTCTTAATTTGGCACCTATCGTTGACACCTATTCTAGCCTCAGGTGTCTTCTGTTCAAGAAACACAAATGAAATCCATTATTACTTATCAGGCTATACTTGTAGCCAGGCACACTTGAACCTATATCTGTACAGTAGCACAAGTTTATTCATTGGCAAGTGGCCCAGGGCATCTTTCGTCTGTGGGGCTGCTTGCTCAAAACTCAATTCTGAGGGAGGCTTTTGTGGCAGTGAGAGACGGGACATAGGCATACTGAGCATGCCCAGGATTCAGGGACTGTGGTCTTTCAACCCTACTTGCATCCCATCCTGTGTGGTTAACTTATCCCTTTCCCTTTACTTCTTGCTGTATTTTAAATTAATTTAATAAACTGTGTAATACGAGTATCTTAATTTGGTCTGTGAGCCTTGTTTCCTCGATAATCTGCCTCAAAGTGCATTTGGAAACCCCACCGTTGCATCAGCTCATTCCACGATCTACATGATTGCAAAATTGCATTTCATTATGGTTCACATGCTATGGTGAAAAGAAAGGCTGCAGGCTAAATATTGAAACATGGCTTGGTCACATTTTCTTTCTAGCTGATTCCAACCATAGTCTTTATTCCATTCACAGTATTTATTAAGATGTCAGCAGGAAACAAGAGTGTAATCTTTATGTGTTAATATATTTACTTTGGAGCTTCACCATAAACTATTTCTATTCCAGATTTTTAGTTATACGTCTTTCTTCCACTACATAAAATATTTTGGATTTCCTGAAGAAAACTATTTTCAAATTAATAATTGCAAGTGTTTAATATTTTAAAATTAAGAAATGAAAATGGTCCAAATTATAGCTGTGTTGGTGAGGCATCCCTTACCTCTTTAGTGATGTAGCCATCTTTGTTTATGTCATACAGATTAAATGCCCAGTTGAGTTTTTCTTGTACTGTCCCCCGAAGCAAAATGGAAAGACCTTTGATGAAATCCTAAAAAGAAATAAAAATACAATTTTACATGACATTTCTAAAAGAAAAAGCAAAGAAATGATGGAAGCGAGGGCTACAACCCTCTGGCTTTTGAACCACTTATTTAGCAAAATGATTGATGTGTTACTGGTTGTCTATTTTTCAGAGTTCTTTGTGGGCATAAATCACTCCCTAGTCTTAACATTTTTATCTTCTAATTGGAAACTGAGTTAAATCAGTGGTCCTAGGAATTGTAACTGTGGATACCCACACAGTAAGAAACTTGAGTATAAGTGGTATTGGCTTTTCACTGCAAGTGCACATGATTTACCAAAAGGATCTAATAGTACAGTCTTAAAAAAAATACAAGTGCACACATAACACTTCAATGAAAAAAATTTGCTAACAAGAAATGTGGCTGTCCATCAAAGATAAACCAATTGCGGTCCTTAATCAGAAACCCAGTTATAATTTACATGCGGACAGTGGGTAAGAGCATGGAGCTGGAGAGGACAGACTGCCTGGATTCACCCTCCAGCTATGCCACTGGATGGCTTTGTGTCTTCAGGCAACTTAACTATCCCTTTGCCTCAATTCTCATATCTGTAAAGTAGACCTATTGATAGTATTTACCTCTTCACAATTTTCTGAGGATTAAAAAAGAGGCTGCTTGAAATTGACAAATGGGATCTAACTAAAGAGCTTATGCACAGCAAAGCAAACTCATCAGTGAACAGGCAACCTACAGAATGTGAGAAAAATTTTGCAATCTATCCATCTGACAAAGGGCTAATCACCAGAATCTACAAATAACTTAAACAAATTTACAAGAAAAAAAAATCATCAAAAAGTGGGTGATTTATCATTTATCATTCCATTTATCATAGAATCAGATGGTCTCTCTACTGGACCTCTCAGTATGCAATTGCTATTCAAAATGTGTTCATTCCCTAACCATGTCTGTTTTCTAGAGATTTCCAAGGTAGCTAATCAATTTAGAAAAGTAACTGCAACAGCCTACTTTTAAATTTGACTTTCATTCAAACTTTATTAATTTACCCATTAGTCTTCCTTTAAAAGGAAAGGCATTTTACCAACATTCCCATCATATATAACCATTACAACTAATTTCCCAAATTATAATCAACATTCACTGCAATTACTTGTATTTTACATAAATATTATAAAAGCAATGTTATGCATGGTTTCATATCATTAACAGCAGCCTAAATTTACATGTAAAATTGGATATAATGTGCCCTAGGAAATTGGTGGTATATTTCTCCTACATAAGTAATTTCAAGTAATGGAATCACTAATAGTTTTTGCCTTACTCAGCCTCTGGAATCTAGCTATAAAAGTTTATATTAGGTGGACTATATTAGGTCAAACCTTTGATTTCTATATTATAGCTAAATTAAGACTGTGCTGGAATTAAATTTGTTCATAAAGTGAAGCAAACACAAATATGACACTGTCATGAAATGATCAAAGTTACTATCATGGAGTGACCTAAGCTGCCGTTAGCAAAAGAAACATTATGAAGACTGGTACCCAGGACACTTCCCCTATCTCCTCTCCCTCCACTAACTGCTGGTTCTACACCCAGGATAAACATGTCTGCTCCATCTTGACTGAGTCCACTCCTTCACCTTAGTTCATTCCTTCTCCACTCTCAGCTTTTATTTTTATCTTCTCAGTGATGTTTCTCACTTAAGTTTTGGGAGATGGGCTTTTGGGATTTCTGGGCCCAGAATCTTTTTAATTGTGGTACCCAGTCTGCATGAGCATGGAGTGTGTGTGAGGCGGCTCTTGGCTGGCTCTGCTCATCCTGCTTGGCTGGATGACATCACAGAAGGCTGAACCCTTCTTTTTCATCTTGATTCCACAAAGCTCTTGCACCCAGATAGCTGCCTATGCCCATATGAACTTTTCTTTTATACATGACAGTTCTGTTGAAATACAATTCTACAAATTCTGTTTTAATTTCTTTTTAATTTATTTCATTCTTCACCTCCAGTACCTTTACAGCAGTTCAGGCTTTCATCAGCTCCTGTCTGGACTCTTGGAATACTCAGCTGCTAATTGCACTCCATGTTGCCAGGAACATAGCTCTGATAAATTAACATCCCTGCCAAAAATTCTACAAAGACTCCTCACCTCCTACAAGATAGTCCAATCTCCCTAGCATCCTGCCTAAGACATGTCAGGATCTGGCCTCTGTCTCCTTCCGCAGCCTTCCCTCTTGGCTCTCCAATTGTATATTCTATCTTCTTGATGATTTACACATTTTTCCTTGGTTCCCAGGACTGATACACTCTGTCCAGCCTTTGCCCTGCTCTTCATTGCTTCCCATTCCATCCCAAGCCTTCATTATCTTAAGGAGCTCCTGACTGTCCTTTAGACTTAGTCCATCAATTCCACTGAGCCGGCTTCCCTGTGCAGGTACCATTTCCTCACTGGCCTTATTCATCCTCTGCTTCCATTTATCAGGACTCTAATCAAAATTTCTGCTCATATTTAAGATGCACCCTTCCCCACTTTCAGAAATAAATGCATCTTTCAAATTATCTCATTTCTCTTTATATATATTTTATAAATAAATATATATGTATATATGGAAAAGGGAAACTGGAATTACAAAGCAAAATATGTATAATGCTACTTCTGATAATCACAACCAAATCAGAATGTAACAAATAAATGAGGTATACTTTTTTCATACCTTTTTTCTAACAAAAATAAAAGCCTTCACAGCTGAACAGAGTTCATGTCTTGTTTATCTCTTAATATTTAAATCAATATACTACAATTGTGATCTGCTGTGTGCCATTTAAATCATATGAATTATATATCTATATGAAATATAGATATATTTAAGCTATTTATATAAATATATATATTTATATAAGCTATATGAATATCTAGGACATATTTTATTTTACTAGATGCTTATACACAGTAGTTCCTGAACAAAATTAAATGCTTTTGAGCCAAGTGGGGAGGCACGTGCCTGTAATCCCAGCTGCTCAGGAGGCAGGAAATTGCTTGAACTTGTGGCAGAGGTTGCAGAGCCAAGATTATGCCACTGCACTCCAGCCTTATGACAGAGCAAGACTCTCTCTCTCTCTCAAACAACAACAAAAATACTTTCTCTACAGATCACTTAAAGTTTGTAATTTAAAAAGAGATTTCCTCATAGAATTGTCAGGCTGGTGAATATAGTATTTTTCTAAATTTAATTTCTTGAATTTCTTGCCTGTTTGCTCCACTTACTGAGACTTCCACAAAGGGGCTTTTGACTTTATTATTTTTGTATTTCCACTGCCTACCACAGCTACTGGCCCATAAGGACGTGTCAGTAACAGTTAAATCATTTGCCTTCTGGGATTTTTCACATGCAGTTGAAGAAATGGACTCTCCTTGTATGAGCCAATTTAAAGTACTAGAAAAGAAACTAAACATGGCTTGCAATTTGTACATCTTTTGAAAGATAATTCTTAGCAGTTCCATGAGAGAAAGGGAATGTCCTTGGTCTTCATTTCCCTGAGCAAAAATCATCATCACCAAACTCACATTTTTCCCCTAAAAAGACTGAACTCTGAAGTCAAATGATATGAAAATAACACAGGGCTTACCTCAAAGCTCACAGCTCCATTGTGGTCCGTATCAAATGCATTGAACAGAAAATGTGCATATGTTGTAGAGTCTGAAATAGTGAAAAGGGAATATCATTAAGTCAGTGTTTCCGTATCCTACATAAGACTTGGATAGCAGTCCAAGCTCTCTTTCATCCAGAAGAATTAACTCTGCCACCTTTAGTTTGTGCTTTCCCTTTCCTCACAACTGCTCACCCTCTTTCTTCTATAGAGGACTAGAGTTTGAGAGTCACAGGAATGAGTGGCCAACACAGAGGCCATTGGTGACAAACATCCTCTATGAGTTTCTGGCTGGCAATGCTGTATTCTTAGGTGATAAGATTAACACTGGGACAGGAAATGGTCCCATAGGTGGGTGTGAAGATTGAGACTTGTCTGGAATTTGCTTAGTGTTTGTCAGAGACCATCTATAGAAGTAATAAAAATACTACTAATGAGACAAAGATGAGTTGCTGTTATTAGTGTTTCTATTATTATTAGAACCTGTATCATTGTTACAACTCAGATAAGGACATTGGGACTTAGAGAGGGTGACAAACATGCCCAAAGTCACACAGTGAATAAGGAATAAATCTGGGGCATAAACTTAGGTCTTTCTGACTCTGAGAACCAGCTCAGCCCACAGTCAGTACCAGGTCAGCCCAGAGACAGTAAAGTTGGCTGATAGACTGGGGTCAGTGGTGACTTGAGAAGTTTCTGTGCCTGTGCTGGAAGGGGACTGGGTGGTCCTAAATGTTCCTCGTTGTATGAAGTTGCATGAAGTAGAGAGCCCCTACTCTGTCTGGGTCCTGGGTGTGATTCAAGGATCTGGGTAATGATGGACAGGTATGTCTTCAGAAGTCTGGCTTGTCTGAGTTTGCTTCCATCGGGTATTCTTCCCCTCTCATTTTTCCTTCCTTCCGCTCCTCTTTCTCCTTAATCTCTGGGCTTTCTGCCATTTCATTTAAAAGTCTGTACTTTTTCCTTATTGTTTTTTGTTGAGTGCCTAGCTTTCATTCTTAAGGGCGTCTGTACTTGACCCTTGATCAGATTCACATGATTATTTTCAATGTTTCATCTCCTGGGCTTTAGCCTTTTATCTTAACCTTTTTTGTCTTTAAAAAAAAAAAAAAAGGTAACCTTTTAGCTCATTGGCTCTAGCCTTTTATCTTCTGTTTTAAATCTCATCTATTTCTATTTTATAATGTTTAACCTTCATTGGGTTTTAACTTATCATTGATTCACTTTTTACTTCATGAATTGCTTTTTATAGGCTGTCATGAAGCTAAGTCAGAGTAGCTGGAGTACAGAAATGCCTTCCCCAGATAAGAGAGGTCAGAGGTCATCTAAATTTCTGTCCTGGCTCTCGGGGTCCACAGCCTCCTTAAAGCATTATTTTTCCTGAGTGCCTCAGTGTAGTAATGAACACTACTGAAGGCCGCACATTTCATGAAGCAGACTGTGCACTCAGTTTCTCAAAATGACAGCAACATCTTCTCTTACTTCTCCCCTTTTTAATATGCTATGAGGAAGTACTCATCTTTTAAACACAGGAGTTACTAACAGTTTTCAATGAACTAATCAAACACCAAAATTGGGTCTATAATATATAAAACTGTTGCATCTAGAGCGGATGTCCATCCAGTATTGATAGGTTGCAGGAAGAAATCCTTTTGCATATGGAGCCGGGGTTTAATTACCATAAACCTAATTCTGTTTTTTGGGAAGCTCCATTATAGAGTTATCAAGAATTGTCAGCCTGTTTCAACTTGCAAAGTTGTTTTGCTCTCAACAGTACTTTTTCACACACTTCTTGAACTACATAGTACCCTCTGGAGATGTGAATTGATAGATGGTGTGCTAAACTTACTTTTGGAGGAGGAAAAAAAGAGATTTTGCATATTTTATAATGAGCTTCATTAAGCAGGTCTCTAGTTACCCTGTTTTTACAATCAGAGTAAATGCCTTTACCTTAGCAAGCAGTACTCACCGTGAATAATGGCTCAAAACAAATGATGTTTGCTATTTTTTTTAATTAAGAAAAAGATAACATGGGTATATGGTAATTACTATTCTTCTCAAATGGAGTTTTTCTAGCTTAAAGTTTGACACGTGGGAATTATGCTCTCAAGGTTTACACTAATGTGATACAGAGGACACCCTGTTCTTCCAAATGTGCCTTGGCAATTCTTTTAGAAGTTAAAGCAGCTTCCCAGTCTAGATAATTCATGCAGAGAGGTTTTTTTTTTTCTGAGACATAGTCTCACTCCCTCACCAGGCGCCAGGCTGGAGTGCAGTGGCGTGACCTCAGCTCACTTCAAACTCCACCTCCTGAGTAAATAAAGGATACTCAGCATCCCAAATAGCTAGGACTACAGGTGTGCACCACGACACTCAGCTAATTTTTTTGTATTTTTAGTAGAGACAGGGTCTCACCATGTTGGCCAGGATGGTCTTGATCTCTTGACCTCATGATCCACCCACCTCACCCTCCTAAAGCAGAGGTTTTAGTAATAGCATAGTAGAATCAGACTGCCTGAATTTGAATCTCAGCTTTACCCTTCACCAGAGATTAAGTGCATGACCTCAGCAAGTGGTTTTACCTTTGTGTGGCTCAGTTTCCTCATCTACAAAATAATAACAATATCAGTATTTACTTCATAGAGATCTTAGAAAGTTTAAATGAGACACTATTTGCAAAGTGTTTAGAAATAATCCTAGGCACTTATTAAAATTTCAATAAATATTAGCTATTATTATTTCCTAGACAAGCCACTTTTACTTCAATTACCTTAAACACATATGATCAAATCTTTTACAAATATAACATCTTTCACCTTAAATATAACTTTCTGATTTTGTAGGATTTCTGTTGTGTGTTTAGGTGACTGGAGTTCTAATTTTATGCAATTTTCTGCTCAATAAAAGACAAGAGAATTATGTCCTAAGAAGCAATGGGCCTTCTGATGGAGTTGAGATTTCTTCTGGCAGGCATTGAAGACAGTGGAAAATTTTAAAGAAGAGGAATGAAGCTACTTGCTTTGATTGGGTGAGAAGAAGACGCAAAGGCATAGGAATATCCAGCTAGGCAGAAAACTGGATGAAATGATGAAAAGAGAAACTGTCCCCAAAAGCATCTATGATTCTGATTTTACTTGACTGTGTTCTTAAGCACTCAGTAAATATTTGTTGGAAGAGTGAATAACTGACTACTTGGAATCTAGGTTTCAGTAGAGTCCAGGGCTTAAAACATATAACAGTGATCTCCCTTCTCTATGACCTGGTGGTCTTCATGATTACATTTCTTTACATAACAAATACTGAGTTTGTTAAGCTGAGATTGCCTCGGTTTCTTATAATTTTACTTGTAAGGCTGAAAAATAAATGTTGAGATTTTATAGTTGAGCAACAAAATTTACAGAGTCTTAGGATGGGAAGACATTCTGGATGTTATTTAGCATTGTATTTACATTGACCGAAGGTAAAAATAGGTACTTTTACTGACATACTAAGGTCACCTGGTTAGTTCATGGTAGAATTGATAATGAAATCAAGATATTCCTATATAATCTCTTAGAAATAAAGGATACTAGAGTAGAAAAAAACCCGAGGATTCCTTTGGTGCTACTCCTACATTTTACAGAGGAACAAACAGGCTTAGAAAAGAAAACCACTCGGGGTTACATACCTTGGTGGTTGCAGTCTGTCCACAAAGTCTGAACTATCTTAGTCCAAAGTTCTTAACCCAGTTATATCCAGAACACAATGAATATACCAACTAACCCTTGAGTTCATTCTTCTTAGTACTTGAACAAATATACTTGATTATCATGCCCCAGGTTTGCAGAATGAAATCAATCTGGTTTATTTCTTTTTCCTATCCCAAACCCCTACTCCCATTCAATTCAAGCACAAAAATAGAATTCGCTTCATGTATTTGAATATACAGTTCATGACATCATTACTGTGGTTAAGGCAAGTTCATGTGCATGAATACTAGCTTCTTTCAGTAAGTCCTCTGTAAATCACCTTGAAAAATGTTAGAAATATTGTCCGAGGACAAGAAGGATACTCAGTGGGTGATGTCTACAGAACTCATCTGACTCAAGTGCCTTCCACAGCAGCTGCTTAATAAATGTTTATTGACAGATTATTCTGACTTGAGCTCATTCATTCATTCATTCATTCAACAGCTGTTTATGAGATGCCTAGTGTAGTCAACGTAAGTGCATTCCTACAATATGAGCAGGAATAGCCCAGGAAACTATATGGGCTTTAAAAATGTTTTGTGAGCTAAAAGTTTGCACATGAAAGCTTCTATTGTTTAAAAGGTTTTTTTCCTAACCATATAAGCAACAGTACCAACAAGCAGTCTCCTCTCTGCTTGCCTTATAGTAGGCATACTTTATCCCCTGCAAATAGGAGGCTTTTGTTCAATCCAGTTTTTCTGACATCCAGCTCACCAAACAAGTTTTGCTTGATAAACTGCTTCACAAAGCAATAGAGAAAGCTAACAGCCTGACACAATACAAACTGCAGAGAGCTCTGTAGATAAGACAAAGCACTTTCCTGGAGGAAATGGTGAGATGTTGTGATTTATGGACCCATCAGTGTGACTGTTCATAATGAGAAAACCTGTTGCATTCAGACCACCATCCTGAATAAATGATGACTCTGTGGAAGTGTTAAGGATGGCCATACACGAATTTGCTTGCCATCAGAGATCCCATTCTTCCTTAGGACATTTTTCCTTTTCTGGCCTCATATATATGCATCAAGTTGTATGTATTATGTTATTTTTTTAAATGCAAAACAAATAATTCTCTAAAATATTTCCTTCAGCGATGCCTCATGCGTTCAGATTTATACATTCAATTAACATGAATAATCAAATAATTTTAAAGAGTGTAACTAATTTTTTCTCAAATCTCTAATCCCTTTGGATTTTATAATAATCCTTTGCAAAATAGATGTTCTCTGTTTAGGAGGATGTTGTCTAACATGGAAATGTTATTTTTCAAATAAAGATAAAATCTTAATGTGGAGCCGTATCCAAGATTTAATATCTAATAACGTTATTTGAAATGATGAAATAATAAAGATTTTCATCTGCATCTGTGCTTTGATATTAATGCCTATTAATATGTTGGTAGGCACTCAGATATTAAATATAATTTTTCTTTAAAATCCGTGGATTTTAAACAATTCAGAAAAATATGAGTTAGTTAACTAATACCTGAAATTAATCTTTCATTAACGCAGACAGTGAACCCATTATCATCCTGGCATCAGGCACTATACCAATACCTGTCTGTGGTCTGTTAGAAGGGCCCTCCTCTCTGCACTGTGGTAATGAGATGGGATGGGAGAGTTGTCATCCAACATATATCCAGATTCACTGAACAACAAGTCTTCCTGTGTTTTCTTAGAATTCTAATTTAATTCTTTTGAATGCCATCAAAAATAAAAATCTGTTTTGACAAGCCAGGCACAAAGTTGTTTTAAATCACTAAACTACCTAAAACCAAATGGATTAAAACCCAAAAGAAAACCTGATTTTTATATGAAACATCTAATACTTAAGTGCTTTATACTTTTTAGTCTTTGAATAGTGACAGTCACCATGCGAGGTGGGTGTTCTTTGTTCATTCCTGCAAAAAGTATCAAGTGCTATTACTTGTCAGCCACTGTCCCATGACCTGTGGATACAGCAGTAAACAAAGGAGAGAAATCCTCTGTTCTCTGCAGCTGACATTTGAGTAGAGAGAAAGACAATAAACAAGAACAGTACCAGTGAAAGATATATTATTGGATTGTCTTGAGTGCTGAAGAGAGATATAAAGCAGGGAAAGGGGATGGGGAATGTTGAAGGTGGTGTAATTTAAATAGAGTGGTCGGGGCAAGCTTCACTGAGAAGGTGGCATTGGAGTAAATGTAAAGGTGATGAGATATGGAGATGAATATTTGGGAGAAGAGAATTTCAGGCAGAGGGAACAGCAAGTTCCAAGGCACAGGAGCAGCATCATGGCTGGTGTGCTGGTGGGATGGCAAGGGGGACATTGTGGCTCGGTGAAGTGAGTCGGGTGGGAGAATGGTGGAGGACAAGGCAGACAGGGGACAAGAGACAGTGGCCACCACTTGTAGGCCACTCCGTAGGTCGTGGCTTATGCCTATGAAATGGTATTGTTTTGAGGAGAGCAGTAACATGAGTTGCTTACATTTTAATGGGATCGATCACTGACTCATTTTAAGAGTAGACTGTGGTTGGCGGAGGGGTCAGTTTGGAGACTACTGTGTTTATTTTGGCAGGAGATGACAGTGGTTTCTTTAACTGGAAAGTAGTTTTAAAAAAAAAAAGCATTGGCAAGGTCAATGGCAAAGTCAACTGTGGCCATAATCACAGAGAGAAACAATTGTCCCCTATGTTGAGTAGCCATCAAAGTTGAAAGGAAGTACTAGATAGTCCCCACCTGACTAGAGGTAAAACCTTCTTCCTGAACTCCAGATTCGTGGACTCCACCATCCCATCCCATCACTATCTTTTTCCTCCAAATCTGAATCCTATTTATCTCTTTTCATTTCTGTCCTAAGCTATTAATATCTCCTTCTTTACCAGATCCTTCTCTGTATATAAACTATGTCCAATCTTTTCTGTATTAAAAAATATTCTACTGGTATCTACCCAGCCCTATGATCAGTTTCCTCCTCATCGCTTCACGCTTCCAGCAGAGCTTCTTGTAAGTGCTGTCTCTATTGGTTGTCACTGTTTCCTTCTCATCCTCCTTTTCACTCTCTCCAATTTGACTTCTGCTTGTGTGCTCCACTCCCTGGTACTTCATTTAGGGCACTTGTGCTGTCCGATCATGTCCAACAATGACTCCCATGTTGCCACATTGCAAGAGACCTCCCGATTCTTACCTTACTGGACTTGATTGTTTCATTTCTGAACTATCAATCCCTCGCGTTTATTTCCATAAACTGTTCATTCTTTGTCTCCTTTGTGGATGCCTTTTTCTTATGGTCCTTGACATGTGTTCTGGAGTTTCATGCTGGCCTCATGGAGCTCACCACTTTTTATACTTCCCTCCAGTAACCTCATCCACATCAGGGATTTAACCACTACTTCTTGATTAATAATTCTGACATCTCTGTCTCTTTCTCTGACTTGTCCTCTGAGCCTCAGATTTTTACCAACTTCTTGTTGAGTCTAAATCCCCACCAGTACCTCCCAAGTAACTTGTCCAAAACTGAGATCATTATTCCCTACTCTTCCTCTAATGAGCCACCTGGTGTCGATGGTGGAAGCCTGGAAAGTACCACAAACTCCTCTCTCCACCTCTTTATGTCAGAAAAAGTGAGTTCATCACTAAACTCTGTCATTTTTGTCATCTAAATATATCTGTAATCTTTCCCCACTTCTCCATTTGTCCTAAGAATGTCCTTGGTTAAAGACCTTATTGGTTTTCCTCCTGTAGTAATCATCTAATTAGTCTCCCTGCCTGCAGTATTGCTGACCTCAGGTTAATCTTCCACAGACCTATCAGTGAAATGTATCCCAAACACAAATCTGACTCTAACAGATCCCACTTATCTGTGGCTTTGCATCACCTCAAGGATAAAGTCCCATTTTCTTCACATGGCATCCTTGACTTCCTAGGACATTTCACCCTCCATTGTACACTCTCTACCCTAGCCATACCCAAATCCTGGCAGTTTCCTGCAAATGCCCACCTTCAGGTCTATGCTCTGATCCTTTGCTTATGCCCCATTTGCCTAAAATGTCATGTCACTACTGCCCTTTAAAGCTGGAAGACATCATACTCAGAAGTGAACTCCTGAGAGGTATAATGGGAGAGTGAAAGACTATATACTTTGGAAATAGATCAAACTCTGTGCACCTTAGTTTCCATGTGTATATCTATAAAAAACATGAGGATTATAGGTAGGGTTGTTGCATGGTGAGGCATTCCAGGGTACATATTAGACAAGATATTAGATGCTTTCTGATTGGCAACAAGTTCAGCTCAGGTTCAACTCATCTGTAGAGTCTCTATATTTCTTCTTTATCCTGAATCTAATTTAATCATGCCAGCACTGTGCCCTCAGAATATGACTTTTTCAACTTTCATAATCATAATTATACTTGAGGTTGACATTGCCATCTGCTACACCAGGCTACATGATTCTTTTAGGCAGATAACACATCCTATTCCTTTTATTCCTCCCACATGACCAGCACCTCACACATGGCCGGGCACTTTGTAGGCTGCGGGACAGATATGAGTTGGGCATCTGTTAGATGATTGAAAGAAAAACTATAAGGTCCAATGGCAAGAATATCTTTTCACTCATCACCAACACGCATGTATTATCATTACGCTATCCTTGTGTTTTCTTTCCAATTAAAATAATATCTAGGGTGGTTTTAATTTTTCTCAAATGAGGGAGCACGGTAAAGAGTTACTGGAAGAAAGAGTGAACAGCAGAAAATATACAAGGTGAGGCTGCAGAAAATCTAGGTTATAACCCAGATCTGCCACTGAGTCCATATGTGGCCCCAAGCAAACCATTTACCTTCTCCAAGCCCCAGATTTCATATCTGTAAGTTGAGGATAATTACATTTGTCCTAATTTTGAGAGTTGGGAGAATCAAATGAGACCTATAATGCATGTGAATGAGCTCTGTGACATTTTGAGCACCCTTGTAATCAAAAGCACTGTGCATTTGAGGACCACAGTACTAGGCACACAGCCATACTTGTATTAAACTGAAGAGTGGCCTTTTGGATATTTGATAATTTCTAAGTTGCTGGCTTTTATGATACATAAAAAATCATATGTACTTGCAAACTGTGCATTAATTCTTTTACATAACGATTAAAAATGTAGCATTATGCTATGAAAAATTAAACTAAACTCAACACTGCAAGCATAATGGTTACTCTGATAGTATGTTAACAAGTCCACATTTGTACTCACCTCCCTGTGGAAAGAACTGCGAGTAAATCTCTTTGAAGGTTTCTTCATTAACAACACCACTGGGGCATTCCTAGGGAAAGTGGCAGAGAAGCAATATGAGCAAAGTGTTCATAAAACTGACATTTTTGCATTGAAACAGAACTGTCTACCACGCAAAGCTGCACCCAGAAAGTTAATCATTCATCCATTATTACGAAAGGAATAAAAAGCACACTATTATCTTTGTTCCAGTTCTCACAGAAAAAAAAAAAAGTAGATGTAAATATCTTTGCATTTTCAGTAGGTATGATGTATTCAGAAACACAGTGCTGCTTTTAAGAACATGCATGTTTATCTTCCATAAATTTTTATTATAAATAAAGTAAAAGGAAATTGCATTATAGTATGGTCTTTGCTGGATCTTGGTTCTTTCCTCTCAAAGTTTTCTGAACCCACATAATCTTCAGTTCAATGGCAAAATGACTCCATTAGCATCTCACGTGGCTCAAGAAGCTTCAAGCAGGAATAGATATTAATGCTTGTTAACAGGATGTCCAGGCATACCCAAGATATGGTTTTGTAACAAGTGACCTTGGGTGAGATAGAACCCCATGATTTTTTTGGAACTTCTGGAAAGGCGAGTCTGCAAAGAAACGGCCTGGCCTGGGCTTAATAGATCCCCACCTTCGTCTCTGGATTAACTTATCAAAGAACAATGGACATTCATCTTGGGAACTATACTGATGTTGGGCGACTGGGCTGGAGGGGCTGGAGGGCAAGGCTAGCCCTCTGAGAGTGGTTTTGGCATTTTTGCTTAAAAAAAAAAAAAGAAACTTTAAAGTGTCAGAAGGGGGCTGCTTTGGTACAGAACATAAGGTGTGAGCAAGCAAATTGTACCCCAGTCTCTGGAAATTCCTTCATTTTTTAGAGTTATAAGAAACAGTCTGGTTAAGCATGTGAGGCATAGAGGCCCCCTGAGTGGTGGAGACTAACAATCACATGATGGTCCAGAATTGAATCACATGTGAGATATTAACTGTATAGTGATCCCTTGATTTACATGGGGCATTGGTTCCAGGACCACTGTGGATACCAAAATCCACGCACACTCAAGTCCCACACTTGGTACTGAAAAGCCTGCAGATAAGAGAATTTGGTCCTTCCTGGCCTGTATCTTGGATCTACATTTGGTTGTGGATGCTGAAGCCGTGAATTCAGAGGGGCGACTGTATTTATTGACAAAAATCCACATATAAGTGGACTCACACAGGTCCAACTAGTGTTGTTCAAGAGTCAACTGTACATTGTAAGTGGAGAAGTGATAAGTTCTGTTTAGTCCCTTTTTGTAGATTCTCATGAGCAGTCCCATGTGATCGGAGCTCCCGTGACTCTGGCTGTCACAGCACTCCCACGCTACCTAACGTCCACCCAGGACTAAGTTCCCTGGGGAAGGATGAATGGTGTGCCATCTCTCCACCAAGCCTGACTTTAGACATGAATATTCTGTGTGCTTTAAATTCAGTGCTGTTCCCACCATCTTTACCAATCACCTATGGTGGTATTTAAAACTTCACTTAACTCTTAAAATCATTGTTCCCTCACTAATAAACTGACTTTCTTAATTTGATCTTTCTTTATCCTAATGAGTCAGTTACACAACTGTAATGTGCTTCACCTGCAGAATTTTCTAATTTGTTGTTTTGAAAGGTAGGACCTTTGACATATAAACAATGTTAACTACCAGTTTCCATGTGAATGTGTGTTTACAGAGCTTCTCAATATATTTTTATCCCATTTGTTCATGATAATGAGCTTAGGTAGGCAAAAGAGCTCCATTCACAGAGGCAGAACTGGAGGCGCTGTGTGGCAAAGCACTCTGTTACACGCTAAGCCAGTGGGGCAGCTGGAATGTGGGCTTGGGACTCTCCAAGGTCACAACAAGCTTTCGTATTAGATAACCCCTTGGAAATAATGATGACCTCAAGGACCTAAGGGAATTAGAGCAAAGAAGAAAACAACCAAAAACAAATGAGCAAGCAAGCAAGTGAACTGTAATGGTTGATTTTAGGTGTTAACTTGGCTGGGCCATAATGTTCAAGTGTTTAGTCAAGTACTATTCTGGATTTTTCTGTAAGGGGTGTTGAGGTTTATTACATTGATGCAAAAGTAATTGCGGTTTTCGCTATTATTTTCAATACATTTAAATTGGTGGACTTTAAGTAAAGCAGATTGCCCTCCATAATATGAGGGGGCCTCACTAAATCAGTTAAAAGCCTGAAGAGAACAAAAATGGACCTTCCCAGAGAAAGAGGGCATTCTTCAGACGTCATCTGTAATATTGGCTTCCCTTGTTCACCAGTAGCCTGCCTTTGGACTTGAACTGTAACTGTTTTCTGAGGCTCCAGCTTGCCAGATCCCTCCATTAAATATCAAGCTGGCTAAGCCTCCATAAAGTGTGAGCCAATATCTTAATAAATCTCTTTATATGCATACATCCTATTAATTCTGTTTCTCTGAAGGACCCTAATACATAAATTGATAATCAACAGCTACTACTAGCTACAACTGGTAGTATACAGCCAGTCTCTCAAACATTTTGACTATTGAGCTGGCACCAGTAGACCAATTTTAAGACTAAACGCTTTGCAGTTGGACCTTCTCACACTTGGATATTGTCATTTATTGGCTATTTAACATTACGCCATACACTTGGGATAGTAGAGAGTGAGTAAATATGTGGTTCTCTGCCATCAGGTGGTAAGCTTGTGCAGAGTTAGGGCTGGATAGATGCCTGGGAGTTAAAGCTGGTGCCGATAAAGGAAGAGGATAGCAAGCAAAGGGACCTCTGCATGCAACACACTTGTTAGCTGCCTTCAGTCTCTAGATACCTTAGATAAATGTAACTTGAAATGAATTTATAAATTGACTATCTGATATGTGTGTGTGTTATGTTTAATCACATATGTGTGTCAGAGGAAATCTTTTCTCTGCCAAATGAAAACTGCTGGCCAAGTTTCAGGATGGAAAGTCTCACCAGATACATTTGTCTCTATCCACCTCATATTATTACATTAGTTTACATCTCTACAAACACATACTGTATGCCTATTATTCAGAGTCTTCTAGGAACTGGGACTGTTACAATAAACAAGTCAAAGGTCTTACCCTCATGGAACCTCTATCCAACTAGAAGAATAAAGACTGTCTTTGTTCAGGCTGCCTTAACAAAATGCCATCGACTAGACAGCTTATAAACAATAGAAATTTATTTCTTCTCATAGTACTAGAGGCTAGGAAATCTAAGACCACAGGATCAGCAGATTTGGTGCTTGATGATGGCACATTCTGGGTTCATATATGGCACCTGCTAGCTGTGCCTTCAGATGGTGGAAGGGGTGAGCTAACTCTGTGGGGCCTTTTATAAAAGGACACTCATCTCATTCATGAAGCCTCTGTCCAGATGATCTGATCATCTCCCAAAGTGTAATATCATTACACCAGGGATTAGGATTTCAACATATAGGTTCTGAAAGGACACCACATACAGACTAGGGCAAAGACCAAAAACTAGACAAAATATTGATTAAAAAATCAGTTCAGAGAAGGATGATCTTTTATTTACTCCAAGAGTTTTTTTTTTTTTAAATCGATACTAGTGCATTTTTTTAACCTACAGGTAAGAAAGGACACTAGTGATTTACAAGATGGTGTACATTCTCTAACTTTTTCTTCACCTCTTTTGTGGAGTGATCTCTCCATAAAAGTGGTCTCTCTACCTCTCTGTTAAGAATGAATTTGGCCAGGCTGCATGTGCAGCATAGCGTTAACCATAAACAATGTGCTGTATTAGTTAACTCTTGTGTTTGCAACAATTAGGCCTTCAAATATCCCTTATTCAAAATGTTTGGGAACAGAAGTGTTTTGGATTTCAGATTTTTTGGGATTTGGAATAATCCCATTATACTTACCAGTTGTATTAGTTCATTTTCACACTGCTATAAGGAACCGCCCGAGACTGGGAAATTTACAAAGGAAAGAGGTTTAATTGACTCACAGTTTTAGCATGCGTGGGGAGGCCTCAGGAAACTTACAATCATGGTGGAAGTCAAAGGAGAAGCAAGGCACCTTATTCACAAGGTAGCAGGAAGAAGTGCCGAGTGAAAGGGAGGAGCCCCTTATAAAACCATCAGATCTCATGAGAACTCACTCATTATCACAAGAACAGCGTGGGGAAAACTGTCTCCATGATTCAATTATTCCCACCTGGTCTCTCCCTTGACACGTGGGGGATTACAATTGAAGAGGAGATTTGGGTGGGGACACAAAGCCTAACTATATCACCAGCTGAATATACTTAATCTGAAAATCTGAAATACTTCAATGAGCATTTACTTTGAATGCCATTTTGTCATTCAAAAAGTTTTGGATTTTAGGGTATTTGCTTTTGGGGATTAGGAATATTCAATCTGTGTAACACATTTAAAAAGCACGCAGTATGTTTCTTATTCACATAACAGTCTTGGGTGAACGTACAGATCAGTTGATGGTTCTCCTTGGAGTCAGTAAAGGACAGAAGCTAATGAGTATTTGGCAACACATGCCTCCTACAGTCTCTGTGATTGTCTTATCCAAAAAAAGGAAAAGAACATTGAAGAGAATGCATGGAAGCTTTTTATGGGCCAGGTCTTAAAGTGGCATACAGCATTTCTATTCTCATTTTTTTGTTGATCGAGATCACTTAATGTCTACCCCACACAAAATGAGAAGTCTGATAAGGCCAGGAAGAAAATAATGCAGATTTGGTAAAGAGTTAGGAATATTTATCCCTGTGGCATGTTTGAACAATAATCCAAGTGTCTGTGCTCTGAAATAGTTCTCCCATTGATGATTTGTTTATTGATTATTTTTTAAATTTTTGTAAAGATGAGATATCACTATGTTGCCCAGGCTGGATTTAAACTCCCTGCCACAAGCAGTCCTGCCTTGGCCTCCCACAGTGCTGGGATTACAGGTGTGAGCTCAGCCTCCCACTGATGCTGTAATATGGTGATTATCAAGTTATTTAGCTGTATAAATTGTCTCTATTTCTCA